ATACAAAACGTAATTGAAAAATCGGAGAATATTTTATTTCCATATTCTTCAAATGTTACATCACCAATAAACTCCTCCTCATAAGTAAATAAATTCTCCTCACTGCCTAACTCTTCATCACTATCAGGAATTATACGATTTTGGCTCATTTTATCTGCTTCGAAAATCACCTTTTCATTTTTCAGTCATTCCATGTATTCACTATTCGGAGGTTAGATTTCCTTCCTTGTTATTCTCTTTTAATAGGTGATGCGCATGCGCGTCATGCGTTATTTCGGGTTTCAGTTGACTATAGTCAACTGAAACCCATGCGGTTACACGCACGTATCATATANCGCATGCGCGTCATGCGTTATTTCGGGTTTCAGTTGACTATAGTCAACTGAAACCCATGCGGTTATACGCACGTATCATATATAGTATATTTCGTCACTAGGCCGAAAGAAACTTTTCTGGCGAATATGAGTTTGCAGCCCGAGCCGAAGGCGAGGGCTGCTATCATATGTGCTAGAAAAGTTTTTTTTGGCCATATGACGAACAGTATTTTTTGTTATGACGGCCGTAGGCAGAGATTCACGGACGCTCCGCGGAGCGTCCGTGAAGCGCTGCCTCACGGCCGGAATGACAAAAAAATATATTTAATATATTCCAGTGAGAACAACTCAGTAGCGAAGCGGTAAAACGATTCAAGTCGATTTTGACTATTGGTCAGTTTTCAGTGAATATCTCGGAATCTAAGGCAGATAGCAAAATTTTTGTTACAACCTTTTTTGTAGAGCGAACTGAGAGCTACAAAAAAGGTATGTTTGATGAATGACTAAATTTAGGGTGGATGTGGGATGAAAATGTGGAGGGAGTTGTTGGGAAAATTATTGATGAGCCGGATTTAAAAACCACACTTTATTTTGTGGGATCGAACCACTTTGTCAAAACTATTTACACTCTTTGGTTTTCAATAGTTGAATGTCTAATTAAATTGATGATTGTCTTTCACTGTAAATTCGTTGAGTCACTGACTTTAGGCTGAATTTAATCAACAGAGGTGATGTACTGAACAAAACGGTGATCTTACTAAGACCGGTGATGTACTTAATGACTAGTGAGCTAGGTGAGGTTCAAGAAGCTACTGTACTCGGTGAGGTGCGATATAAAACTTGTACAGGTGATTCGCCCGAGATAGACTTGTACGGTGAGAGGCTAAGCCTAAACTGATTCGCACGTGTTTCGGTGACTTATGACTGATGACCCGAAGGGTCCCGGAGATTTTCGAAGTCGGCCGATGGTCGACCAGAATGTTCTGGAATTTTAGTTGCGTTTCAAACAAGGTAATTACGAAAATTTTACTATCTCCCTTAGATTCCGAGATATTCCTCAAAAACTCAGCTGAGAGCTAAGTCGACTTGAACCGTTTTACCGCTTCGCTATTGAACTGAAATTACTTAAGAATCATTTAGGATAATTTCGGGAAGAGGGGGGCTTTTGAATTGTTGAGGGGTTTGCCTTGTTAAACCGCAAGTATCTGTTTCACAATTTTTGTTTTTGAAACGTATTTACTTCATATTTATCGGAGTTTGTTTTCTCTCATTTGTATTACCACATGTGGTTTTTTGCGAGTGACTCAAGATATTGACTGCAAAGAGGCGACATTGTTTGTTATTGATTTTTGGGGAATTTATGCAGAATTTGATTTTTAACTGTTCGATTCGAAAGAAGGAAGTTATGATCTCGAAAATCGAATCTGAAAATTTAACAATTTTTCCACGTTTCGTGACCGTTAAAACCTCTTTTGAAGAAATTATACAGTTTTCTTTCATCTAGTCTTATATATACTTATATATATCAAGGGGGTATCTTCCAGTGGACATGAAAGTGCGGCAAGATTTTATAATCGAAACTTTTGTTTTCGGGGGCGAGGAATCCGCATTTTTTGGTGTTTTTGCGATTCCTGTGGGCAATAATTTGTTATAGACAATTTTATCTCAATTTCTCACGAAAAGTAAATTTTTTTGCACACGATGAGACATACCAAAAAATATTTCAGATGAAAGATGTCCATACAAACAAAAACTTTCTCACACAAACAAAAAACGGTTTTTGGTTTATCAAAATCGGCTCTGTGGTTCGCCCGCTATTCGCTAATTCAGTAGTGAAGCGGTAAACCGGTTTAAGTCGATTTAGACTATTGGTCAGTTTTTAATGAATATCTCGGAACCTAAGGGAGATAGCAAATTTTTTGTAGTAACTTTTTTTGTAAAGCAAATTAAGCGCTACAAAGAGGTGATGATGAAAATTACGCTACCTCTCTTAGATTCAGAAATATCCCTCGAAAACTCAGCGAAGAGCTAAGTCGACTTAAACCGGTTTACCGCTTCGCTACTGAATTAGTGCGCGTTCTTAATGAACAAATGATTTTTCATAAAAACTATTAAAGATACAGGAAACAGTTCCGGATGATAGTCGATTATCTTTCTCATACAAACAAAATGATCTTTTATTTATCAGAATCGGCCCAGTGGTTCGCGCGCTACCCGCTAATCAGTTCACGTTTTTAATGAACAAATGATTTGTTCATTAAGAACGTGGCTGAGAAATTGAGGATCAACAAATGAGGCTTAATGAACCTAGTGAGCGAATTTCGCTACATAGTGAGATATCCAAAAAAGTGGGAAATATATGGAACTCAATTTTCTATACCCCGTCCCTCGCGGGTTTCATGGTAGAACCTCATTTCGAAATTTTTACCTTCAAAATGCATTACAACTTTCGTGTTGGTTACAGTTCAAAGAATCAAATTGGATATTGTTTTTTTTTTATTTCCAATTGATCATGAGAAAATCCTTTTTTTCGATTTTCTCTATTTTACTCGTTTTCTGATAACGTCTAAAGAAAGGTTGTTTTTAATAATTGGAGAGGTTGTATACATATATATTTTCAATTCAATACCTTCTATGTACTACTACAACCTCTAATCACTCAAAATAAACTATTTTTATACATGATGAAAAACCGAATACAAAGAGAAAATGGAAAAAAAAATTCTCACGATCTATTCGAAATTAAAGAAGAACGAATACCCAAAATTCGCCTTTTGTAGACTAATAAACATTTGAAAGAATAAATATTTGAATCAAATGAAAATTGTTCAACATTTTTAAGATAAAAACTCGAAAAAAAAGGTTTTGCCATGTAAAATGGGGCAAAGTGGGGTGAATTCCAAGCGTGTTCTACTTTTTTGAATGTCCCATTTTCCATGAAAAAATCGCTCGATAGGTCCATTCAGTTACCGCAGACTTCCAAGTTAGAGGGCGGTCCCACCAAAAAGTTTCTGCACTTTCATTCTAATGAAAATTAGACAAGAAAACTTCTTCTCTCGGTCATTATGCGGTCATAAAAATCCCTCTACAAAAAGAATAGACGACGTATTATAACACTATTCCTTTTAGAAACAATGGTTATCTTAATCGACGAGTAAGTGGATGCTGTAACCACAAAAGTCTCCGCGAGGAGGAGATTTTTAGAGTTAAATAAATGCGATTGCGATAAAAATCTCATTTAAAAAAAAGGGCTTGAACCGCTCCTCTACTGAATGTGTTTAGCAGGTCCTTCAAAATCCAGAGTTGATCAGACCATACATCAGAGACCGGAAGAAGGATAGAGGAACCAAGTATGTAAGAAGGATCACCCCAAGAAGCCACAAAAAAATTTCATGTAAAAACTTCTTTATTAAAAAAATAATACTGATGGTTATCCATGTCTCTCTCATTTCTTTCCATTTCATACGAATAATACCTGTTCTCATGTTCAACAAACGTTAAAAAAATAGTGGAAAACGATAGCCGCCCCGTAATGAGGAACCTTCCTGCTCAATATCAGGTTTCCCCAAAAATATCAAACTAATACTCATACCCCTTTATTCTTCTCATGCAGTTTCATATGCTTCTTCAGATTATCCAGCCTGTTACACCTCCTCTCGCAATAATCGCACTGGAACGGCATAGAGTTACTATGCACAATAACATGTCCATTTAAATGACTAATCTGCTTAAACCTCTTGTTACAAATATTACAACAATACGGCCGTTCGTTCATGTGCGCGGACGTGATATGCGTCTGCAGATTAGTCTTCCTGACGAAGGTAGCCTTGCAAACCTCGCACTCAAAAGGTCTAACATTAGCATGAATAGCCAGATGGCTCTTGAGCACATTCTTATGCTTAAAGTTCTTATCACAGAGATGACACTGAAAGGGTCGTTCATCGGTATGAACTTTCTTATGAACAGACAGATGCGCCAACTGTTTGAACATCTTCGCACAGATCTCACACTGATAAGTCCTGCCATTCTCATGGGCCACACTGATATGTCTCCTCAAAGTGTCCGCCAGAGTGTAACGTTTCCCACATATTTTGCAGCCGAAAGGTCTCTCATTCGTATGAGTCATCAAGTGGCCGTTCAGGTTTCTTCTCTCGAGGAACCTGGACCCGCACACATCGCACTGATAAGGTTTCTCCCCGTTGTGGACGTACATATGTTTCTTCAGGCTGTTCGACAGGGTAAAACGCTTCGAGCATATCGAACACGCAAACTTCCTCTCTCCAGTATGGACCAACGTATGAGACTTCAGATGTCCTGCCTGCTTGAATCTCTTCCCGCAGATCTTGCAATCGAACTGGCGCTCGTGGGTATGCGTCAGGATGTGTCGCTCCAATACACTTTTGGTCATGAAAACTTTCTTGCAAACGTCACATTGAAAGATCGACTTGGTCGGTGTTCCCCGTTTATTCCTGTGGTTTTCTGATAAGTGGGTCTTCAGGTGCTCCAGGGATTCGAATTTTGTACTGCAGATTGTGCATTGGGATGTCGGGAAGTCGTGGGTTAAGCAGTGCTGGCTCAGGTGGCCCAATTGCTTGAATGTTTTGTTACAGATTTCGCAGACGTAGGGACGTTCGTTTGTGTGAGATCGCAGGTGACGTTTTAATACACTTGGGAAGGTGAATTTCTGGGAACAGTGCGGGCAGGTTAGTGGGGAGGGGGTGCATGGCGAGGGCTTTGAGGGTTGTTTGGTATTCGTTCGTTTTCTGGGAGATTTCGAATCGTTTGGGATTTCTTTAGTGGCACCAGTTTTTGGAGAATACTCGGGTTTGAAGGGAAATTGATTATCGAGAGTTATTAATTGATTGAATAGTACTTGGAATGGGGACTTATTTGTTAGTGGGTTAATTCTGTTGTTTTTCATCATCTGGAGAAATTTTAGGCCGATTTGTAGGGGCTTATCTGGATTTTCTTTGGTCCAATCGAACAATTGCTTCTCGAAATGATTTTTCAGGGAGATTGCGCCCTCTTTATTACCGTGTTGTTCCACTTTTACGTTGAAGATGGGTGTGGTGTAAGTTTTTAGGACTTCTGATAATTTTTCAGTATGATTTTTATTGTGATAGTTGATTATGGCCGGAGATCCTATAATGGAAAAAATATCTAGGAGGTTCTCCGCTATTTCATCGTCATTATTCAGTCTTAGTGGTTTTAACACACTATAGCTCGAGTATGCTTCTATGTATACTAAGAAATATTTGTGTGGATTGTTCTTGTTATTGTCGAGATCATTTCGCAGGTCGATCACATGCACTTCAGCCTTTTCGTTGATTTGGGAAATTTGTTGAGGAGTGCTCTCTTGGAGATGAATGGATTCTTCAATTTCCTTTGCCTCGTTCTTTAGCATGAGCTCTGAATGAATATTATTCATTATTGTCCGTGAGTCGTACCTGCAATGAATGAGTTATGTTAAATATTGTAATTGAGGAGATCATTGAAATTTTGGTAATATGCCATAATTTCGGAATAGTATATTTTGTTACAAGTAAAGAACCACTTCTTCGCACGCACACGTAGCACATCCTATTTTTACTTCCGAACGGATATTTTCTAATTTTGATTGGAAATGATGTAGAATGATGTAGAATGATGATGTCTGAAACGTAAAAATACGAAGTTTGGCGATCATGTCTGTCTGTGACCACGTCCACCGCCACCGTTCCGGTGGTCAATTTTTAGAAAATTGAGTAGTTAAGTGGCTAAGGTAATTCCAAAAAATCCGACATTTTGTCAGATTATAGCTCTTAATGAGGACTAACTCTGTGCAAAATTTCAGCCCGATCGATCTAATAGTTTTGGAGAAAAAGCGATTCGTTTATAAATCGTTTTCCGCACATATCTTCAAAACTGGTGGACCGATTTCGATTTCTTTGTTTTCAAAATATTCGTTTCGATGCCTTCTATTTCCATCAATCACAACATATACACCCGTTCATACAAAGTTTTAGAGATATTCCCGTTTTTCTGTTTTTTTATGAAAACCTTTGTAAACACTCTAGCTTGTATAAAAATCCAGATATAAACTTGTAATTTGGACAGAATCGTCCTCTCATGATAACAATGTTTCGTATTGAAAATAGATTCACTCACATCAGTACTTTCGGAGATATTCGTCTTTTGCTGAAAATCTTTTACATGGAATATCTTTAAAACTACGCAACTGATTTCACATTTTTTTCAAAACATTCGTTTCGATGCCTTCTATCTAAATCAATCAAAACATATATACCAGTTCATACAAAGTTTTCGAGATATTCCCGTTTTTCCGTTTTTTTATAAAAAAAAAATTTACAAACACTCTAGCTTGTGCAAAAATCAAGATATCAACTTGAAATTTGGATAGAAAATATGTATATCGGTTTGTACGAAGTATTCGAAACATTGGAATTTCGATTGCACCCATGGAGATGGCAATAACCATTTGAAATTTTTGCTGCTAGTTAGTATTCTGAAGCTATAAACTTTTGTTATTTTTCTGAACATTCGGAAGCCCGCCATAAATGTATTGATGGCGAAAAAAAAAAGACATCACACAGTGAAATGCTCACTGTCACATGGCGCGCTGTCATATGCTCGCTGTTCTCTGCTTGTTTTTTGTTGTGATACCTGCCAGGTTCACTTTTCGGAACGGTATTGGGGATACTCCAGTTGTTTTTGTGTACGAAGTGCGTAAAGTTCAAGGTCGTGCGTTAAGTGAATTCCGAGTGTGCAAAGCTTCGTTTCGCGAAAATTTAGGGGAGGTTGGGGTAAACTGGACACTTTTGCCTTTTTTTTAAATGTTAATGACGGCTTGAAATGTTGATAAAATGTCATAATTTTTTTTTCATTGCAAAGAACAATTCTTTCCCTTTGTGATGAGCCTAAACTGAGCTTAAGTGATAAATTTGTTTCTGAGTTATGAGTAATTAAAACAAAAGTCTAAAGTGTCCATTTTACCCCACTTTCCCCTACTTTACGCACGACCTCTGGACTTTACGCACGCCGTGCGTAAAACAAGCCCTTTAGGTACATTAAATGGTTTCGAAAAGTGAACTTTTCAGGTACATATCACAAAAATGGATGATTCTACAATGAGAGAAAAAAAAACACGTTCTCAAAAAAGTCTTGTTTAGGCCCACGAAATCGCTAGTTGACAATTGCCAAAAAAGAAATTGTTTGATTCGACTTTGAAAGTTTCAAACATTTTTTATTAATTTTTTTTTGCTTGAATTGCGTCAAACAATCGTTTTTCAACTGTTTCATTTTGCCCCACTCTCCCCCATCCTTTGAATGTTTACCATACCGAATTGAGTTTTCAACGCTATGAAAATGTATTCTCTTTTCTCCAACCCTCCAAACCATTATGCAGATCTTGATAATGGCTCGGATGCTATCATAAAATCTTACTAAATTAATAATAATGTCTCGTGCTCACCTCGAGTTTTATGAATAGGATTGACTTATGTGTGAAATTTATTGATGAAAATTGATAGAAAATTATTCAATTATTCCCATAAGTTCATTTCAATGATTATTGACATTTGCAATGAAAAAAAAGTTCGCATACACCCAAAAACATCGGTACTGTACTGCACTTGGGATAGTCGGTCCAATGTTCAAGGCATTTCCGTAACCACTTCGCAAATAATCTCACAGGAATGTTCCGTTTATCTTGAAAAAACTGCAATAATTGATGGATTGATCGACTGTTATAGAGTCACTTGAGTCACAAAAAATCATGGTGTTGAGATCAATAAACCTCTTAGCTTTAAATTCATCAAAAATCCTCAGTTCTCGACTTGTTACATCTCGCACTCAGCTGTTTTCGTTCCGAAAAATGGCGTCCGAGGTTGAGAAGGCTCAATCTGCTACAGCCGGCGGAGACACTATTTTTGGAAAAATTCTACGTAAAGAAATTCCTTGCAAATTTATTTACGAAGATGATCAGGTCAGTAACACTTTCAACAATCAGAAAATCATATTTTTTTTGTAGTTCTCTGCGAGTTTGGACAATCGCCTTCGCATAACCTCCATCACTTCTACACAGAGAAAAAAAAGTTCTGAAAATTGGAAACAAATGGATAGATTTAAAAAACTTGTTTTCTTAACTCGCGCCATTGGTCGGATGATAGAAAATAGCGCAGGGAATAGTGACGCAAAATGGATACTTTTGACCTTTTTGAAATGTTAGTGATTCATTGAACTGTTAATGAAACGGCATAGGGGAGGATGGGGTAAAATGGACACTGGACTTTTTAAAAATTACTCATAACTCAGAAACAAAGTTATCAATTGAGCTCAGTTTACGCTCATTACAAAGGGAAAGGAATGCTCTTTGCATTGAAAAAAAAAAATATTGAATTTCAACATTTCAACCTGTCATTAACATTTAAAAAAAAGTCAAGTGTCCGTTTTACCCCAACCTCCCCTAATGTTTTTTTTTATCGTGGAAGTGTAATTCTTCCTGTCTGGGATGGGGCTGAACTGATCTCAATTGATAGATTTGTTTTTAAGTTACGAGCATGTGAAGAAGTCAAGTGTCGATTGTATTCCATCCTCCTCGATTTTTGTTTTTTTTTAGAGAAAAATGGTTCCTATTTTCATAAATTTATTGATTCAATTTAAGGATATTTACTTTTAATCAACATCTTTTTTTTCTAGTTTTCACGAAATTTTAGTTTTGAAAAAACTAACTATAATATAATATATTGCTAAAAGTTAGAATATTACAATAATATTTACAATAACTGTCCCTATCGGGAAATTAAAAAATTTTGATAGCTACTTTCATGCACTTTTTTTGTAGAATTAAAAAAAACATTCTAGAAAAAAATTAATCTGTATTTCCATAATTGATTTCAGAAATTTCCTGTCTAAAAATCTTGAAATGAATTCTAGATTCTCGAAAAATGTATATTAGAAAGTATGATTTGTAGAATTTAGAATTTTAAGTTCCGCATAGAAGCCTTATTTTTGACCGATTTTTAGATTTTCTAATTTTGATTGCAAATGGTCTAGAATGTTATGAAACGTGAAGAAATGATGTTTTTAGGATCATGTCTATATGTATTATCCGACGACTTGGGTTTTTGGTGATTAATTTTTAGAAAATTGAACATAAATAGGGTACAATTTGTTGATAAACACCAGAAGTTTTGGCTCATTGTACCTATTATTGAGCTCAACTTTAGCGCGTTATTTCAGCCTGATCGGTCCAGTAGGTCCGGAGATATAACTTGTTTAAAATTCGTTTGTCCTCAATATCTCAAAAACGACTGCACCGATTTCAATTTTTTTTCAAAAACTCGTCTCGATGGCCTCTATGTAAGTCAGTCCGAATATCTAGACTCTTTAATACACAGTTTGGAGATATTGCCGTTTTTCCGTTTTTCATTAAAAATCTTGTACGCACGTTAACTGGAGAAAAAAAAGGAGATAGCAAATTGAAATTTGGTATGGTTATAGCTCTTATAATACTAAAAAGATAGGTATTTTGGATGAGCGCAATTGGCCGACTGGTTCCTGAGATATGCATCTTTTGTGTACATATATTTCTTCAAATATCTCACGAACTACCAGACGTATTTCAATTTTTTTTCCAAATCCTCGTCTCGTCAGCCACAATCTGGATCAATCAAAATATACCTATCCGTTCGTTCAAAGTTTCAGAGATATTCCCGGTTTTTTTTTTTAATTTTTTTATTTTGGTACGCACGATATTTTGCGAAGAAATGAAAATAGTAAGTTGAAATTTGGGATGATTATAGCTCTTACAATATTGCAGGTTGGTATTCTGGACGGGCTCAGCCGGCCGAGCAATTTCGGAGATATTTAATCTTCTGTATAAATCTATTTTTATTCTGTTGCAGTTGTATAAATCTATTTCATTAAAAGATTGAAGATATTGAATCTTTTGAATAAATCTATTTCATTAAAAGATTGAATATCTTTCTGTAGACACCCTGTAACATGTGGTTACGGTTGTATGCCTACCACAAGAACAGGGAATTGCTACGAATCCAGTCGGAAGCTTACTACCAATGGAATTGGTAGAACCAAAAACAAATAGACTAATAACGGAAAAAGTAACGGCCACATGCCTTTTGTCGGATAGGCTCGTACCCCTGCTTGTTTTTCATTCAACTAACACTGAAACTAACAATAAAATAACAATCACCACCAATAACTGGTATTTTGTTTACGGTATTCATGCGATTTTTTGTGCCATTTTGAATTTTTGCAGTGCGTAGCATTCCATGATGTCAATCCTCAAGCTCCAGTGCACTTCCTGGTGATCCCCAGGAAGCTAATCCCTCAGTTGTCGAAGGCCGAGGATGGTGACGAGGCGGAGCTGGGGCATCTGATGAATGTAGCACGAAAAGTGGCTAAAGAGCAAGGTCTCGATAAAGGATTCCGTCTGGTGATCAACGATGGACAGGATGGAGCACAGTCTGTCTATCATCTGCACATGCATGTCCTCGGGGGGAGACAAATGCAGTGGCCACCTGGTTAATTCCTTCATTTTTGTACATTCTTCTTTACGAAAGTGAATATACTAACAATGTACTAAAGGCAAAGGAATGATTGGAATAAAGGTGAAAAATAAATGCAGTTTATTTGTCGCTGACATTTTGAAATGGTTACAGATCTTTGTTGCTTCTCTGGTAGACTTTGTACTCGAATTCAATTCCATTTTCTTGTTGAACACCTTGAGGGACGTTCGGATCTCTGAAATGAGATAGACTTGTACTCCCCAATAAATTATTCCAACTGCTCCCATACATATTCACGAATCTCCTCGGAGCCATATTGCGATCATGTATAGAAAAAAATAAATTACCAGGATGAAAAATAACAAAATCCTTGTAACATAGTTTTTTTGTATAGCGATTTTCTCTGATCCCTTGATAAACCTTGACTTTAAATTATCATATCACCTCATTTTTTTTTAAAGAAAAAAGCGTGCAAATACGTAAAAATATATTATTCATTGCCATGGCTTCCGGATGGATTTCTTTTTTTTTTTTTTAGAAATTCGTTTAGATCTGCTTGTCTTCACCACGGATGCTTAAAAATTTAAAAAAATCACAGAAAGCACTTTCAATGAGTACCGTCGATGTACCAGTAGATGCCACTGTGACAATTTCTGCCACTTTGAGCACATTTTCAGGTATATCAAAGTGAAATAATTCTTGGACTCCACAGTGCTCACCATGAATCTCTAGAGCAATCTCTCTCGCCCCCTGTCACCAAGAATTATCACTTTTGAACTGCGGAAGGTATTTTTTATTCAACCGGAAAGTGTGAAAGACACGCTGGACTCAATAGAATGGTAGTGGCTCTCTCAGAGAGGTTAAAATGTACAGTTTAGTTTTCGTTCATATTCTTCAAAATGTAAGTATTAAATCATTAAAAAATTGTAGTTATCTGTCAGGAATTGATTGCTTATTCATATACAATCGTTGAACATGGATGAAATCACCTTTTTAACACGAAAATATGAATAGCAATGACTGGCTCCTTCGAATGAGCCCTCGTGCCAGTTAGTGCCACTCGTATGTCTAACCTTCCAATCTCCCTAAACTTTCGTAAAAATATAAATCGACACTATGTAGTTCGAACCAAATGTTGATTAACTTTATTTTGATTCTTTGGAAAATGATAAAATTGATTGGGAATGAATTTATATACAATATTTTTATTTTTCACTAGGACCAAACCGAACAACCCACTCCGGGGGCCAAAATACACAGAACTGTCGTTGACAAACGCTTTCATTGAGATCAAGACTGGATCTCCAGTTGCTACTGTTGCTAAAAAATACAACATTCCTAGAACTACTCTAAGGTACAAGAGAATAGATGGGAGATTGATCGCATCAAAGTCTTTTTGATTTATGGAAGAAACTGAAGGGAACTGAAAATGCGTCACAAATACCAAAAAAACCTGAAGAATAATTTTATTTATGTTTCCTATTAAGTATAATCTATGAAGGGAAGTTTTGTAATAGTTTACTGAATAAATAATTATTTCATCCATTCACAATGATTGAATGTGATTTAATAATGTAGTGGCACTAACTTGCCCTTCGCCATGGCAGAAACTGGCACAAGCCGTTTTGAGGGTGGCATAAACTGGCGCACGCGGGTCTTTTGTTCAAACTTCAATTTAAATCAATTTTTCTATATTTAGGGATGAATAATATGTTGAATTCAAAGGAAAAACTATAAACTTGCCCCTGAGTCAACAGGATTTCACCTAGCATTGAAAATATACATAATACACACTATACATTAAATATACATTATACTAGCGGACACGGCTCTAGGTGGCATTAACTGGTACATCGACGGTATAAAAGCCCAGATTTTTTTCAGATTTTTTGAGCACTTTGAAAACAAGTGGATGGATTGACGAAGAATTCGTCATGTATGAATACCGTTCCGGAATTTTTGATGTGCCGCCCCCTCAAAAGACTAAATAAATTTTTAAAAATCCTCTCAAAATTTCAGCTCTATCTTAATTCTACAACGCCCCCCAAGAGCCTTGTTTTTTTTCAGTAAAATAACACAAGATTTTCATGGAAAATTTGAATCTATTTCTCCCTTCCCCTGTTATCTCAATAGAAATGTTATAATCATGGAAAATTACTGAGTTAACGAACTAGGGTGAACAGACTAATTGCTGAACGGTTAAGGGAAATTCGAGGTTGGTGGTAGGATCTAAAATAAAAGAATCATCTAAATGGGGATATGATGGCTTCCATACCTTCAAAAATGTTTTAATTAGCAGAAAAAAATTATTTGAAGTGGAAATAACAAAACAAAGAATAATTAAATTAAAAAATAGTTGAATGCAGCCGAAACCCCTAATTTCTGGGCGATGGAGCCATATTTTTTTAATTTATTAAATGTCGATTAATAGAAGAAATAATTGATCACATGATTACGCACGATTAATATTATTGAAAGGTGAAATAATGAGGACAATTTTCATTTTATTTATGGAATATTCAATGCAAGTTGAAATCGTCCAGAAATTGACCTGTTTACTCTACTTTTGACGAAAATTTTTTGCTTTTTGTTAACATCATACAACAGTGCAGTTATTCTTATAGGGAAAAACGTGTTATTTTTATGGGAAAAATAAGGCTCTTGGGGGGAGTTTTTGGGACTGAGATACAGAGCCGAAATTTCGAGAGGATTTTTTTTTTCAAAGTTAGACAAATCCTAACTGCTTCAATTCTCATTAACACATCTCCGCCACCAACATTTAGGAGAACATTTAGTTCTCGAAACGTTAGCGATTGGAATAATAAGGGTTTCTTCTGTTTTCACCTTTATTGAATTAATATTACTGATATTGACCGCATAATGGCCCAAAGGAGGAGATGTGTTAATGAGGATTTTTTAACTTTGCTTCGAGTCTTTTGAGCGGGCGGCATGTCAATCATTCCGGAACGGGTGCCGACCCAGAAGGGATTGATGAATTGTATTCTTAGTTGATGTATTCTTCATTTCTATAGCAATAATCTCAGTTAAAGATTATGGGATGTTGCAGTCCTGATAATAATTGAAAAAAATTGACGTGTCATTTTAATGTGTATAGAAGCTTTACCAATAATGATCTCTATAAAAAAAACTTTCATTATTAAATGTTCAAATATATATGCCGAAATTCTATGGACCATTCCGTGTTACAAAGCAGCGGAGCGCGGAATAAAAAAAAATTACTCCATTTTGAAACCTCGTAAATAATCAACGATAATTGTTAAATTTTACAGCACGATCGATGGGGTGTTAAACATTGATTATGCCAGAGCCTGAGGCTAAAATTATTTGTTAAATGTGACATCCTTCTCAACTGAAGCAATTTTGTTATGATTTTCCCAACATCGCATGATCTTCAGTGAGCTGAGATTGTTATTCAATTATTACTTACGTAACTGTGACAAAGTCGTTAAGAATGTCTGGGAAAAACGTGTCGCATTCGAAGTGTTTCTTTATTTCTGTCAGATAAAGTCGGTGAAATTTCGGAGATTGCATTGCAGCCTGAAATAATCGCAGAATTAAAAAACAATATTTCTGCGTAATCATTGTCCACCCTTTTCAAGATTGTCTATTTTCCAAGAATACAATTCAGTATCGAAACGTTAAAACGGTTCAAGTGGATTCTGACCATTGGCCAGTTTTCAATATATATCTCGAAATTTGAGAGAGATAGCAAAATTTTTGTCATGACCTTTTTTGTAGCCCTCAATTCGCTCTACAAAAAAGGTTATAACGAAAATTTCGTCATCTCCCTTAGATTCGGAGATATTTCTCGAAACCCCAACTAAAGGCTAAATCGACTAAAACAGTTTTACAGCTTTGCTATTGAATTCTTCAATGTTCGCGGGAAATTCTGTATTTTTTAGATTGATGACAGAACACATGGAAGCAACCTTTCATGAAACAAAATAAACAAATTTGTTCTTATACGCGGCCTCTTATTATTTTCGAATTGATTATTTATTTTCGAATTGATGATTCACCTAGTGCAGGAATTAAAAAAATACAAATACAAATATAAAAAATCAGGCCCGCTCGTGCGCTCACTCTTTGGGGTATGACCGGTAGGGGTGGGTGAAATTGGGTGTGACCCATTACGGATCGAACTAATAACTTCCCGACCAAGTCCCTTTCCTCCATTTATTTCCGAAAAATCGAAAATTGTGATGAACTGCTGAGTTAATGTCTTCCAAAATTCCATAATTTGTGCGTTACATCCAGAGTCATCGTTTCTAACAAAAAAACTTCAAATCGTATCGTTATGCACGGAGAAATGATCTTGTTTACGAAAAAAAGCAAATTTTCGACTTTTTTCCAGATGTTTTTTTGGAAAAAACTGAAAAAACGTTGAGACGATCGTTTCCATAATCTAATCAGGTTCAAGTATACGTTACATAAAAATACGGCGAATGAAAAAGAAACTAGAAAACAGCTGAGACTATTTTACTCAGCATCTACTTAAAATCGAATTACATATAGATGCATCGATCGCATGAGCAGGAATCAAAACCCATCTTTTCTTTTTTTCTGTGTAAAATTGGTAACTTTTCAAAAAAAAAACTCATTTTTTTTCAGTTTTTCACATGTTTTATGCGAATAACTAACAAACCGCTGAGGCGATCAGTCTCAAAATCTAATCAGTTCTAAGTTACATTGACACGCATCGATTGAAAAAAAAAATTTCGAATCACTTCATTTCTTCAGAAGATATCGTTGGACAAAATTTTGGTCGCATACGTACATACACACACACACACACATACAGACAAGTCTTCAAAAACTTTTCAGAATGATTCGAGTGGCCGAGAAATGTGGAGAAATCATGGAAATTCCACATTCGATTTCCGGGGTCATTACAATAACTTCCTTCGGGTCGGGAAGTTAATAGAAGGCAATGTGAAAAAATATATTGAAACCAACGACTAAGGAAAAACCTGTGCTATCCAGGCAAATGATGCAGTTATTAAAAATTTTAGACCCTATATAACCTCATTTTAACGCTTACATTCGGCGCATATCGTTTATTTCATTTCCTAAAAATCAAATCGAATCAGCTGATAAAAACTTTTGTGAACAGGAGAGTGATAACTCTGTCTAGCAGTTAAAAAAAATCAACAATTTTTTAGAATGCTTGCACTTTGGGATAAACATCCTTAATAAGAAATTTCTGTCACCTTCCAAGGTATTCCAACATTCTTTCATACATCATTATGGAACAGAATTGATAAAAGAGAAGAAAAAATCCAAGAAATTTACTTCATAAACAGAACTTCCTCCAATGACCCAAATCTGCTCGACCTTCTCCTTCAAAGGACCATTAGAAATCATTTCTATTGCTGCAGGAATGCTTTTGCAGACAATGGCCTCGTCGCCAAGGTTCCTGAAAAAAAATCAGTGGAAAAATTCACCCGGAAATTCCATTCCACGAACCGGAGATTACTCACAAGTCTTGACTGGTCAAGACCATGTTTATCCTGTTCTGAAGAGGTCGATATTTTTTCGGAATGCACTCCCAGGTCCTTCTGCCCATCAGCACAACATTCTGCTTGGTGTCATCTTTGGTATTCGTCGTCATGTCAGAGAAGAACTTCATCTCACTCCTGTTGAACAAAAACAAATCTACAGTGTGTCCCAAAATTGATTTGGCATATGGTGAGGGTCGCTCCGGGGGGTTATTTCGAGACGAAAACTGAAATGAAACTTTTGTCTCCGGCGCATCGTTAAGGAGTTATTTGTCAACAAAGCAAAAATCCACCGCGTAACACCCTCTTTTTGAAAATTACTATTTCCTCGCTCACATCGACTGCAGGAATGAAAATGGGGGCAATCGATTGGGCATTTAATGCACACTGATTTGAAAAAAAAATTGTTCTTCTATCATCACGCACGGGTGAGAAAACCCGCAATGAATTTCAACGCGGCGTCAGAACTATTTGGTTCCTAAATGTACTGTAACCCTAAAAGTCAGAATCAGCGTTAAAAATTTATATCTCTACTCTCATTCAATATCAAGAAGTGAAATTGATTGGAATCAATTGGACATTCAATGTCATCGTCCCTCCGCCTTGTATAGGAAAGGGGGTATGATCTCTATCCAGGAACAGCGTTTGATTGATTGTCCTTTTTCCTTGATAATTTATAAACAAAGCGTCGGAGACAAAAATTTCATTAGAGTTTTCGTCTTCAAATAACTCCCCAGCTAGCCTCACGATGTCAGATCCATTTTGAGACACACTGTGTACTGAGTTATCATTCCATCATAGACTAATAATTTATCATGCCCTATTTATTATTTTTTTTATGAATTGGACATACTTTAATTTCCATGGCAGACGTCCATCCACCCCAATCCCCCCCTTCTCACATGCCGCAGCGATCAGATTCAATCCCAGCTGCATATCTGAACTCAACGATCGAAACTGAACGAAACCAGTGGAACCAGTGCAAACACCAACTGATCGAATCATGTGTTTCTTTCAAATTTCGTAACGGCTATTCTCTATCTCCCTCGATACGCCCGATACGCTGGCTTATAAACCAGCAGAGGGCAGTCCGAAGTTCCATAGAATCACTGAGGGGAGAATGTCAGTAAAGGCAGTGTCTACACACACGGTATATGGTAATTACCATAGACGCAAGGTAACTTTTACCATGTATTAAGGCTTTTTTTGCCATGGATCTATGGAGAGTGTCATACGTCTATGGTTTCACTATGGGGGATCATTTTGGGAAACGGTTTTTATGTGCAGCGCCATCTATCGGAATTCTAGAAAATTCTAGACATTTCGAGGTAATTCGAGAAGTTTCTTGAAATAACGAAAAAAATCAAGTAGTTTTTAGAAATTTGAGGGAATTCAAGGAGTTTCTAGAAAATTTGCGAGAATTAAAGGAGTTTTCAGAAAATTTGAGGGAATGCAAGGAGTCTCTAAGAAATTCGAGAAAGAAGGAAAGACCATGGACGCATCCACTATAATTACAGCTGTATCGAAGATACAGCCGCCTGCAATTTTTTACCATACCTCTGTGGTTTTCACCATGCGTCTATGGTATTTTTCTCATCATCTGCTCAGAAATTCGCAATCTCTTAATGAATTGTTGAACATAGCATTAAGGCCCCACGAGCATATATATATAGGTATATAAAAGCGGGTAAATTTTGCGCCACTCTCACGGGATAATGGATGGACAGAATTGGATAAAACTTACGTCAAAAAATTAGTTTTTTTTCGTTGGCTGCGGTTGAAATGGTTTCGGATGTTCCCTGACGCAAAAATTATTGATAAAATAATTAATAAAATTTTGAGGTGAGTTTGACAGTTTGCGGCAGCCACGTTGTATGATATAAACATACAAGTGACACAATTCAGGGCAGTCGATAAATCGATCGATTGTTATTGATTGAACTTATCGACTGATGTAACATTATTTTACTTACGAGAGAGTGAGTAATTTTTTAAACTTCATGTGTGGCACACTTGACACCACGAAATTATGATTTTTCCACGTATAAGGGTGAAGCGATGAGAGTAAAGAGATAATTTTATGGATTGAGAAATTCTCGTTCTGGTTCATCTGCAGATTTCATGAATGGCTTGGCTATTTTTCATATGTCACAGATTTCAAAATGACAAATCATAATTTCGTGGTGTCAAGTGTGTCACACATGAAGTTTAAAAAATTACTCACTCTCTCGTAAGTAAAATAATGTTACATCAGTCGATAAGTTCAATCAATAACAATCGATCGATTTATCGACTGCCCTGAATTGTGTCACTTGTATGTTTATATCATACAACGTGGCTGCCGCAAACTGTCAAACTCACCTCAAAATTTTATTAATTATTTTATCAATAATTTTTGCGTCAGGGAACATCCGAAACCATTTCAACCGCAGCCAACGAAAAAAACAAATTTTTTGACGTAAGTTTTATCCAATTCTGTCCATCCGTTATCCCGTGAGAGTGGCGCAAAGTTTACCCGCTTTTAATATACCTATATATATATATGCTCGTGGGGCCTTAAAATTTAAGTCGCTCGGCTTGGGTATAGATATTTTGATTGATCTAGATAGCAGCCATCACGACGAGTATTTCGAAAAAGATAAAATCATCCGTTGAGTAGTTTGTGAGATATCCCAGAGAACAATTTTTGCCAGTGCCATCTAAAATTTAACAGGACATCGGCAATTTGTCGGCAAATTGTCGAGATACTGTTTGCTGGGATTTAACAAAATATATTTATACAAAAGGTTGCATATCTCAGTAACCGCTTAGCCGATTGCGTCCATCCAAAATACTAACATTTAGTATTATAAGAGCAAATGTCGACTTGCTAGCTCCTTTTTTGCTCAAGTTATCGTGTGTCCAAGATTTTTCATGAAAAACGGAAAATGGTAATATCTCCAAGTTATGTATTAAGGGGATACGTCGGGGGATACGACCCATTGCACAGTTTGCAATATAGAACGGAATATGGGAATAACTAGGAAAAATCGCGGACCCGATCGATTTTCCCTCGTACAACCACGAAAAACTTCTTTTTTTCCTGTTTTTACCTTCAAAATGTTCCTTGCACCGTAGTTTTGAATACGATTTTAGCTTTTTTTCAACATTCGCTACACTCTCCAAAGAATAAAGTCAAACATCCGTTTTACTTTATTCGCAATAGACCATGAATAAATAAATTTTGAATTTCATCTTTTTTTTCATTCTTTTGCTTCCGAAGGGAAGCATTGTTTTTGATCGATTTTTCGATTCTCTAATTTTGGTTGCAAATGGTCTATAACGTCATGAAACGTAAAGAAATGATGTTTTTAGGAGGTTGTCTGTATGTATGTGTGTGCAGATTCGGGTTTTTGGTGATTCAATTTTAGAAAATTCAACGTAAATACGGTGAAATTTGCAGCTAAAAATTTGAAATTTCGGCTCATGATAGCTATGAATGAGCCTCACTTTGGTGCTTCGTTTCAGCTCGATCGGTCATGTAGTTCCCGAGATATAATCACTTGTTTAAATTTCGTTTTTCCGCAATATCTCGCCAACAACTGCACCGATTTCAATTTTTTTTTTTCGAACTACTCGTCTCGATGGCCTCTATCTAGATCACTGATATCATGTATACCGATTTGTGCAAAGTTTGGAGATATTGCCGTTTATCCGTTTTTTCATAAAAAACCTTGTACGCAAGATAAGTCAATGAAAAAATGAGCTAGCGACTTGAAATTCGGTATGCTGCTAGCTTTTGTAACATAGACGGTTTGTATTTTCGATGAGGTCAATCGGTCGAGCGGTTCGCGAGATATTCAATTTTTTGTGAAAATCTATTCTGGCAAATATCTCGTCAACTACTTGACCGATTAAAAATTTTCTTTCTTCAAAATATCCATCTCGATCGCTACTATCTAGATCATTAAAAATATATATACCCGTCCATACAAACTTTTGGAGATATTCTCGTTTTTCTTTTTTTTTTGTTTTCTCATTCTTGTGCGGTTGATAACTTGTGACGGAAAAACGATATTAACTTGAAATATAGTATATATATCTCTCTCATAATACCAAAGGTCCGTACTTTAAATGGGTGCATCGGCACTATGGAATACCATCTGGAATGAGGATTACTTTTGTGAATTTGAATGGGAAGTAACGTCATCATCAGAAATTACTACGTTTTGGGCGATACAGATGAAATCACAAGAAACTATTGAATCAGAGTAGAACAACAGACTTTTATTGACAAGGGAAGTGAGAAAATGAAAGGATTCTCTACGTGGAAATTGACAATAAAAGATTGTTGATTCAATATTGGATTTCGTTGGTGAATGTCATTGAATGGTGATGAATGAAACGGTCGTTTATATTTCCATATACTTCCCTTCGGAAGCTTACTACCAATGAAATTGGTAGAAAAAAAAAGGAGAAAAGTATAATAAGAAAAAAAGTAATGGTCATTTGCCTTTTGTCAGATAGGAGTTCTACCCCTGCTTGTTTTTTTATGTCTCTAGAGTGGAGTAAAATTGATGGAATTCACAATTTATTTATTCATGAAAAAAACTGAAATTTCACCGACGTTTCCTCTTAAAGAGTCTATATATTCTAATTGACTTACATAGAGGCCATCGAGACGAGTATTTTGACAAAAAAAATTTGAAATCGGTACAGTAGTTTTTGAGTTATTGAGGAAACACGAAATTTAAACAAGTTGTTATATCTCAGGGGAGCGATTTTGCTCGTTTTATGTCGACATAAAATCAAATTTCAACCGATCCTAGTTGAGTATTCCGAATCCAGGATTGTCATTGGTTGAAATTTACGATTTTATGTCGACATAAAACGAGCAAAATCGCTCCCCAGGAACTACTGGTCCGATCGGGCTAAAACTGCGCGCCAAAGTTGAGCTCGATAATGACTAAAACGAGCCAAAACTTCAGAAGTTTATCTACAAATTTTACCATATTTATGTTCGATTTTCTAAAAATTAATCACCAAACACCAAAATAGTCGAATACATACATACAGACATGACCCTAAAAACATAATTTCTTCACATTTCATAACATTCTAAAAATCGGTCAAAAGCAAGGTTTCCATTCGAAAGCAAAAATAATTGAAAACAAATAAAACTACACTTGCCTTCATCGTCAAATAAAATAAATTAGGTAATTGAGATAAAACAAATTACACAAAAAATCCAATGAATCAAAAACGTCAAACTGCAATGAACAAATTCCGCAGAATTATTACTTGTTTGTTCTTTTGAAAAAAAAATTGCAGAAAATAATTCTGCACACTTTGGAAAGTTCTGAAATTAGACAGATGTATGGAATTGCCTCAATGAAAAACAAAAATTATAACCATCATATTTTCCTTATATATAAAGGAAAGCATAATGGCTGCCGAATGAAAACTCGAATTGAAGAATGTCGAATCGATTCACCGAAAGTCGAAGTCGAACGGACGTGTTCGATCATGAACTTATGAAACAGAAATAGAGTCGTATCGAATAAATTGCCACATGTTGTTATCTTCAGAGTCATTGCGGCGGGTGAAAGACGCATTCTCATGAGAACTTTGATGAGAATGAGCAATTCGGCCGCGCGACAGTGCTATTTACGAAAGTACGCTAGAATTACAAATCGGATTTCTAACCTCGAATAAGAAACGAACACCCTGTATACATTAAATACATCAGTGCATATTTTCTATAATACACGCATTTGTTTATAATTAGTGGAATGGGAAATGATTTTTTGGTGATAAAAGTTACGAGCTGACAAGATTAAATTATAGATGATTAATGAACTTGAATGTCGAGAATGAATTGAAAAAAAAAATAGAAAATCTAAAAATATTCAATTTTAAATTTTTCATTCGATTTTGGTTATTCGATGGTTTGTTTAATGAAATCAATACTTATATGACAAAATAAAATAATATTGATTTTTTTGCCATGGACCTAATTTTTGGTGAAATTCTGAAAACGGAAGAATTCGTTATAATTCAGGAATAGTACATTACATGCCCGAGCCTTGGAAAACAGATCACCGTCCTCCACGTGCACGATTGCCTTCCGAGTCGAAGGCGAGGATGGGGTTTTTCAGGTCCCGTTACACGAAAAAAATTATTCTTTGAGTGAAACATTGATTGCTATTGGATTATTTATATAAAAAATGATTGTGGTCTTCGAAAATTGTGATTTTCCAATCATTTCATTAGTGTATTTCAGAAAGTCGACTTCATTTTTTCCTAGCAATTATACTGTTGAAAAAAATTGAAATTCATGGATAGTTCAGTGGTAATTTTTAGGAGCAAGACATTTAAGTTAAATTGAGAGAGGAAAGTCATGAAATTTAAAAATTGACTGAAAATTTAATGGAATTCAACATTTCTTAACAGTATGAAAATAAAAAGTTGCTTGAATTTTCATTGAAAACGTGAATATTCTGCACCCAATTTCTTACTCTGTATTTTCGATTGATAAACCAACTATAATTGTTCTAATCATTTAGGTCGGGGGCAATAGAATGATTCAACTTTCTTAATGTTGCGCTTACTAAGGTTTTCTCCAAAGTTGATTAGAATCAATAACTAGAATTATGAGTTTATTATGATATTTTTTACATGAAGTGCAGAAGAATCTGAATGCACTACAGTGCAAATGATGATAGATTTTTTCACGTTGAACAAAGAATAATAATAATATAGGAATAAAAGAAATTCAGTTATGAATGAACAGCTGTGGCTCAATATTCCATAACAGTAGAGAACAGGAATGATGATATTTTCATAATATCTGACACATTAACATGAATTTCAGATTCACAAAAAAGAATCGAGCAGAAGTCAAATTGTCATTTTACGTTTTAATTTCCAAAATTTGGTGCTGAAAACATGAGGTGACAATATTCTAAATGGGGAATTATGTTGATGATATGAACAATAGATTAATTGAATTACCAAGTGAACTGATTGAAAAATTGTATCACGGTGTTGGCAAGCACTTTTACCAGAGTATCACCAAACATTGAATTTCGGCAATTTACTCTTCGAATTATGTTCGAGTAGAAATTGGATTGTAATTATGATGGAAATCTTATTCAGTGAGCAGAGGAATTAGCATATGCGCAGATTATTCATTGCAATATAAATATTTCATAGTTAATAAATTGAGGCACATCATTTTCATCAGTCGCACTGCTTTTTGCAATGACAATGATTATGAACAATGAATGGAAGAAAGGAATTCTGAGTCCGACGGGAATTGTGTTATAAATATGGTAAGAGAGCCCTTCAGCTTGACTAAGATAGTAATCAAAAGTCGAAACTATTGAAACTGATAATATGAAAATTTCAGAGTCGGTTTTATCTTTTATGTGAGCACTCATCAAGAGATTGTTAGAAATTGATAAATACGTGTTTCAGCTTCGTTACAAAATCCATCTCTAAGGGGGTGAATAGGGAATGAATTATAGAAACTTCGAGGAAGGTTGCAGGTTTCCAAAAAAATCAGAACTGTCAATTTTTTTCCCAAATGTAAGATAATTCGGGAGTTTTCCAAAAATTCAAGACAATTATGAGGTTTTCTGAAGAACTTAGAGACAATCTATGGAGTTTTTGAAAATTACAAAACATTTACAATATCTCTCAAATATTCGAGGATTGTTGAATAAATAATGGGAAAACAATTGATAGGAAAGGGCGGCATTTCGCAAATAAAACTGATTCGAAGCAGTCATGAAAGCCCGAATACTGCACTCTGATTAATTGAAATGCGAAAGGAGGAAATAATTTGGTAATTCTTCAGATTTTCTCCACAATTCCACAAAAATTTTCAAGTTTCTTGAAAAAAATTCATATAAATTTCGAAAGATTATAGAAAATTTGAAAAAATTTTAGATGATTAGATGATGAAAGTTTGAAGTTTATGACATCGTCGAATAAAATTGTGAAAAAATCATGAATGAAGCGAAAACACTTCGAATTAGCGAAAGAAGATCAGAATTGACCCCATAATTTTTCTAGAAAAATAATTGAATACTTTTGTCAAGTTGCAAACGGAAATGAAGAGGGAGGCGAAGACAAAAAAATTATGGCCTGTGAGAAATTTGATAATTGTTGTTTTGCACTCTGAATATAATTTTGATTACAATAGTAATTAAAATTTCATTCAATGAGGACGGAAACTCAGAATTAGTGGATCACTTATTATAATATTTAAATTGAACAAGCAATGAACCGAGACGCATTGTTTTCATTAACTTTAACACTCAATAGACTAAAACGACGATAAATCATTAATTTTCGAAAGAAACAAAAAAAGCAAAGACAGAATAAATGGGCATCAACGTCGCGGCCGCTTGCGGCCGCGGCGACGCTAGTATTGAATAATTGAAGAACTAACAGATCGTTTCATATTGAATGAAATACCCAACCCAACCTCACATCACCCACGACTTGCGCGGTTTGCGCGTGACTGTTTTTTTCTTCAAAAAAAATATAGACAATCACATGATGGAGTAGGTACCTAGTGTTAGCAACCAGTGGCAACCAGTGTTGTCGATTCAAATGGAACGTGTCAACAATTGTCCATCCTTTGAATGAAAAATTAACCACTCCGTGTGTTGACTTAAACTAAAATGAGGTCTTGACAGTCGACGATGAGGTGCCAAAGACAACTCACCTCTTCGACGAAAACACCTGCACGATCTAAATTAAAGCAAATTAACCTCTAAATTCGCCGGAAAACCTCCAAAATATCAACAAATCGAGTGAAACTCAAATTCTTCCCCCAAATTAATTAAATCAAAGTGTAAATAGGTAATAAAAGATTGATAAAATCCAGTGAAAATGAATTTCCGAAAGGAAATCTGGCCAAAATCCGCGGGAGATGCCGCATCGATGGTGTTCACTCTGATAATAGTCCCAGTGATCTACTGGTTCGAGCTCTGGGTGGTCCTTCCCCAGCTCTTCCCCCCAGGCTCTCTCCTCTATCTCTTTCACTTCACCCTGGGGACGTTCATCCTTATAAACATCGTCGGGAACTTCACGTACACTGTTCTCTGTGACACGAGCACCAGGTCAGTATAGCTATGTAACGAACAAATCTGACCGGTCAATTTACACGTAAATTATGCGTTCCGTTGTTTTTTTTATAAAAAATTGCATCTTCCTTAGATTTCGAGATATTCATTCAAAACTGGTCAATAACTAAAATCGACTTAAACCGTTTGGCCATTTCGCTACTGAAATAAGAAAAGTGCTACCAAACTTTTTTGATTTTTTTGCAATGCCATACTAAGGTAATATTCACTAAACTTTCGATTTCCGTTCGGCGTTATTCGTAATTTTATTCAATTTCTAAAAAAAAAATCATGAAAATGAAAAAAAAAATGACCGAGCATAAAAATAGCAGATTTCATCTAGATAGACGATTTTTCAGCATAAATGACAACGAGAAAAAATTACTGACAATTGGGTAAGTTGACCGGTCAGTTTGCATAACGGGGTATCCGTCAAGTCAGAAAAGGTCAGAAAACGGTAAATTTACGGCTGATTTGATGCATCTAAAAAATGACCGTCATTTTGGATCCCCAGGTCAATGATTCTCCCAGTGAGCAAGGCAAAGATGAGAGAAGGCTGGCGATTCTGTGCATCTTGTGAGGCCATGGCTCCCCCTCGATCCTGGCACTGTCAGACATGCGGTATCTGCATTCTCAAGAGGGATCATCACTGTGTGTTCACGGGGTGCTGCGTCGGCTACTTCAATCATCGGTATTTCCTCATGTTCGTGCTCTACTTGTTCATCGCTACTGTCTACAGCTTCTATTACAATAATCACTTCATCTGGGGGAGAATGGAGTTTCACTTCCCCATGTCAATTATTAAAATGGTCTTTCCACTGGCTTTCTCCGTCTTTGGATTGGATTACTCCATGGATCAGTTCTATCTGATGCTGTATGTCATTTCAATCGTGGGAATGGGGTTCACTGGGGCACTATCTGCTTATCATTTTCATCTGGTGTTCACTGGAGCCGTTGCGCATGAACGAGCGAAGAGCAATTCGAGGTATAATCTTGGGTGGAGGCAGAATGTGAAGGATGTTTTTGGAGAACGCTGGTATCTCACTTGGATCCTGCCTTATTTTGAGTCCAGACTCATTGGTAATGGAGTCAGTTGGAGGACTGCAGCTCCGTGGAATGAGAAGTCGAAGAACAAATGAAGAAAGTGAAATTTTTTAGGGATTTTTAGTTCAAAATCTCGAATTCTGGCCTTTGGAACCGAGTTTTGAGGACATCGGAAGTTTAGGGTGGTTCCTGTATGCTTGGATGAATCAATTGGAAAGATTATAATTGAGGTTTTGAAATGTTTCTTCAAAACCGTAATTAAATGGGTAGGAGAGAGTGGGATGAAATGAACATTTTCAACTTCTTTTCAAATATTCATAACTTAGAAACAGATTATCAATTAAGCTCAGTCCAAGCTCGTCACGAAGGGGAAGAATTTTAATTTTCATTGAAAGAAAAGACTCCATTTCATTAACAATTCAATAAGGCATTAATATTTTAGAAACAGTGGAATGTGTCCATTTTACCTCACCCGCTCCTATGTTCTGAAATGTTCTCGGGAAATCTATATGGGGGAAATTGAAGGACTGTTAAAAAGTTCCTTAATGTGTTTTTTATGAAGTTTGGAGGATTTTGGGCTGATTTTAATTTTTTTTTCTGCTGAAGTCTTGGGACTTTTGGTTGCAGTCCGTGGACTCCGTAGTCTCCTATGGTTTTTCAATTGTTGCAATTGTGATCGAAGACTTGAACAATTATGCGTAAAAGAACTGTAGAATTAAGTGTTGGGTACTTCAAAGATTATGTCAATTAATATTCGTGTAAATAAAATGAAAATTATTGACTAATTTGTTGTGTAAACGTATCGCTCTATTTTTCTTTTTTGAGGTAGGGGAGAATGGGGCAAAATGAAATAGTAGGGCAAAATGAAACAGTTGAAAAACGACTGTTTGACGCAATTGAAGCAAAAAAAATTTTTTATTAAATATATTTTTTTTTATTAACTTTTGTTTATCAACTTTGTTATTCTTGAGAGTACTGATGAGAATAATACTTTTTTTTCCATTCAGTAGAATGGAAAATTATCGACGAGTTTTGACGGGAGATTTAGTCAATGGATTTAATTGAAAAGAAAATGAACCAACAAAATGTTGTCAAAGGGGGAGACCCAGAGCGTGAAAAAGGAAAATGTGATGCTGAATTTCAATCGAATGAAAAATGAATAGTGTAAGCGCCATAATTTAATCAATTGAATTATAATCCATTGAATTATAAGACGCATAGAAAATTATTATTCTCATCAGTACTCCCAATAATAAAAAAAGTTAATAAACAAAAGTTGACAAAAAAAAATTTTTTTTGCATGAATTGAATCCATCAAGATTGGATATCCAGATTGTTTTGTGAATATTTTCGAAATGAAGAAGAAATCCTGTGCGAGATGTTTTGCGCTAAATTTTGTGAATCAGAAATATTCTTCAATATGTTTCTCTAAGCTTTTCAGTTGTAAAGAAATTTTCAAAATAATATATCCAGAATTTGTTGATACAACTCTAGTCATCTAATTTATTTTCATCATCCTTCAATTCTTATGGATTTTTCATAAATATAAAAAATTTTAATTTTGTTTGTATTCCGCATATTAGAATAATTTCTACAGCTTCAATAATTTTATTCATTAAAATATTCGTTAACAATTTCATTTCCTACCATTCTCAGGAAAATGTCAAGAAATATTTATATAAAATTACAATAAAAAAAATATTTATATAAAATTGAGTTATCAATATTTTTCTATTCTAAATATATTAATTTCCTAGGAAGCAATACCCTTCAGATAATAAATCCAATTGAGATGGCAGAGTTCAGGATCAGTGCAATAAACCACCAATTTTCCAGTAACGGGACTTAATAACTTCTCATCATCTTCAAGTCCAGCCGAAGTTTTGAAACTCACGACAACATTCGCGTTTTGATTGGGATCAATAATATTTGAAGCAGACGAAGTGGAAAACGAAATTGTGGGATCCACGACACACTGGAACGTCTTCGCTTCTTTGAAAACATTTTTAAAAGGAATAGTCAGAGGTTTCTTCGTAGTTAACGTGAAAGGTCCTTGAGCCTTCGGCAAACTCGCTATTCCAACGATAGGATAAACAATTTCCCCAGCTGTTTCCGATACTACAATGACATTCCTCTCGACTTTTCCAACACTCGAAGGCTCGTAACTTAATTCCACAATCTCCTCTCCTCCGGAATCAATAGAAATTCTACTTTCCTTGCAGGTAAATGGCTCTTCGACTCTAATAAAAAACTCTGCAGTAGCTCTACTTGAATTCTTGACTGAAATACTTAATTTTTTCGAAATTCCCAAACTCGTAAAAACGGTCACAGCTTTCTCCGGAGCTGGAGGAAGAGATTTCAACTTCAGTTCATAAGGAAAAACTCCCAATTCCTCACTAATTACTTCTAGTGATTTTGTCGATTCTCCAGGAAAGACCGGGAGGTATTGAATTGCAATTTTATCAGCTGATTTAGGTGGAAGAATTTTGGGAATTCCGTCGATGAGAATATCTAATGAATTCTCATACTTTACTGAAGAATAATTGACAGTTCTATCTTCAAGTGGATTGTAAACCTCAAGTACATAATTCGTAGAAGTTCTTGCATTTGTAATCAATTCGATTGTCTTCAGAATTTCAGGCTTCGTGACTTTGTACTCAACTTCATAAAATTGATATTCACTTTCTGAACTTGTAAACGATACTCTGAAGTCTAGTACTGATTCATTGAAGCAATGAAAAACAGTCTGGTAACTCCGTCTTCCTCTAGCATTTACATCGATTTTGTCATTTCCCGAGAACGTAAATATTTCATTTCCTTTAGGACTTGTTAACTCAAAATTTGTCATGAAAAATTGAGTTTTATTGTCCCAATTTTCCACTGAAAATAATTCTGTGTGTTTTTTCTTCGCTGGAACTTCACGAACGATTTTCCCGAGAGATTCCGGAGGAGAACTGGAGCCTTTTAGTTCATAAATGTTCACCGATTTTTGTTCCAGCAATCTTAAAACAATTTTGCCCTTATGGAATTGATTTTCAGAAGTCATGACCAAAGGGAAATATTTGACGGTAATTGATTTAGAGGATTTAGGAGGAATATTCAAAAATTTATCTGCAGTAAAATAATTTCCGAACGTTGTGATTTCGATTTTTTCCACAATATTCAAATCGTTTTCCACTTTTACGTGTTTTTGATCCTCTTTACGCACTGGAGTCGTAAAGTTTATGATGTCTACGGGTGCTGGAAGGGGTTTAGAGCTTCCAATGAAACTCACGATAATGTTTTTATAGTTTTCTATTTCGATTATTCCTTTTCCTTCGAATCTTCTCGTTTTTTTACTGGGAGTGAATTTTATATTGAACGTGACGTCACTTCCTGCAGAGGAAATGCCTTCGACCGGTTTGATGTTGAAGCAATGAGGGAGTTTGGAGAGATTCCACTTGAATTTCGATGTGAAATCTCCAGAGTTACAGAGAACGATTTTTTCCTCTTCGGTGAAGCCTTCGGTAATAGCGCCAAATTGGATTATCGATCGATTCAGGTGGAATTCCGGTGCGAGGCATTTTCCCCGAAGGATGGAGAGTGGGATGAAGGTGGAATCTATGTGGGCGCCGATGATTTCCTCAGAGTTCATTCTTCTCCGAGGTTTGAATTTTATTGTCACCTCTTGGGGCTTATTTGGAGAGAGGGCGAATACACCTGCTGGGTGGATTTTTATTGAATCAACTATTGATGATGTTCGCGGGTTTATTGTCTCTTGAGGGGGCTGTTTCATGAAATTGACCTGGAGTTTAAGAGGTGTTTTCCCAGAGTTTATTATTAATAGACTTCGTTTTGTTGCTTTACCGAGTGGCACGTGGCCTACATCGATGAGCTTGTCTTGAGGCTTGAGTAGATTCACCTGCAATATTTTTTTGTTTGTTGATTTAAAATAATACGAGTTGAGAAATTGATAGAACTTTTGATTCAACCATGCCTATTGAGCTGAGTTTGATGTCATTAGGACCTTTCGAGAATTTTTATTTTTAAAAAAGCCACAGGGCCGATTGCTCTTAGCCAAATAAATCGTCAGAATAAATTCATGTCCCGAGTAAATTTACTCCACGATTAAACGATTTTAGGAATTTGTCGTAGACTGCTTTCTTCGAGGGGCTACTCACTCCATAATTGACTGACACAATGATTTCGTAATTACGCTGATTTCGGGTGATTTCAGCGATTTTGGAAAAAATGATTTCGGCGATTTCGAGCGTCACAGGTCATTTCATGATTTCGAATGATTTCATTAATTCGAAATCAGTGATTTCAGCAAAATTAAGTTGATAAATAAGAAAGGTGGGGCAAAGTGACGATGAAAATGCGGTCCATTTTACCATTTTACTATGGCAATAAGTACGGCATTTTATTATCATCGTTGGCAGGAGTGTCAATTTCAAAATCATGAATTAGTTACACGGTTCGCAGTACGCCAGTACGCCACTGACTTCGCTGATTTCATTGATTTCAAACAATTTCACGTGATTTCGGAGATAATGTCGAAAATGATTTCGGCGAGCTGAAATCACTTGATTTCAGTGGTTTCGACAATTTCACATGACATCGGAATGATGTCATGCTAGAGGTGCGCTATGATTTCGGAGGTGAGTAGCCCATCGGCTTTCATTCATACACGAAAAAAATTTAATAGAAAAGCCTAGGGGATTTGTTAAAAAATTCTATTGAATTTCGATTGAACTTCCTATTAATTTTTGGCAGGTATTTCCGCTGACATTCAAATTTGTTTTGATTTTTATTCCGATTAAAATACAGGCCAGTCAATGACTCATGTATTTTCAAATTTATGTAGAATCCGAAATATGTGTCACAATATGTATCCGATATGTATGTGTTGGATAAACTATGGATTGAATACACTATGTTTTGACTAGACTGTGTAATGACAATACTTTGTGTTGAATTGATGTGTTATGTTGAATTTTCACCGTAGCAAATATTTCTGCCACCGTGATCAGGAAAGCGTGGCAATGACGATTTGATATAAATTTTTAGAAATTCATGAAAAAATACCAGTCTATTTATTGGTAATTTTCCAATAGAAAACTGGCAATTAAAAGACTTGGCTCGGATTTGGATGTGTTTTTTGGAGCGTTCCGCCGGTAATTTTGTAAAGTGAAATCAATTTTAAGCGCTTTCAATTTTTTCGCCAGGGAAATACTGCAAAATTTATCCAATTCATTCGATTTGAAGTGATTGTCATAATCCAAGATTATTCAATTTATTTATAAATTACTTTATGAAAAATTCCTTCGCCCCGCAATGTTATTCTCTTGTCAATCGTAGAGTTCACAATAAATGTTAAATACTCTTCATATTTCTGTTCGTCCACAGGTTGAAAATAAATAGGCACAGAGATTGGATTTTGAGTAGAAATTGCTTGAGAAAGAGGACCACTGTTGACTATGAAATTCTGTAAATTTTCTGCCTGAACTTCTACTCTGATGAATGAAATAAAAATTATCGATGAATTTCAGGGGCTCGAAAAGTATGATATAAAAAATCATATTGCAAATTACATGGCAGGTGTTTCCTCATTATTTGAAATTCCTAGAATAACTTCGTAGGGCTGTGATTGGTCTCTGATATAACATGCCCCGAAGTCGTGCTGCGTAAAGCTGAATTCTACAGATGGAGATTTCGCTGAGGCGTTCAATAATATCGTGAATATTGGACCTTTTATTATCTGGAAGTGGAATAATTAAGTAGCGGAGTGGGAAAGAAATGAAGAGAGATGACTCGAATAATTTCGTATGAACTATTGCATGAATATCTCCACAACTATTGAATTTTGACACACACCAGGAGTCGACCTCAGTCATGAGTTTAGTAATATTATGAGAAGTTGCACCTTACAATAATTAAGGTTTACTTATCTTTATTGAAATTTGAAAAATAATAAAATAATTGATAATTTAAACTTTCAATTAGCTATGAATTGAACAATTGACAATATGGAATTGTCAGTTGACTATTAAGTAAATATTTCTAAATTTCATAAAAGGATTTTAGCCAAATAATCGTCAATCTCCGGAACTCAATTATTCATTGATAAAATAATTAGAATTTGAATGCTTAATTGATGATTAATTTAATAATTAGAAAATTGTTGAGTAATATTAACAAATGAGTGATTCTAAATTTAACGTTATTTAAAATTTATGATTATGCCAATGTCTGGCACACAGGAACAAATTTCATAGCAAACTTAGCTAAATCGCTAAAAAATTCTATTAGATTTCGCCGATTCTATTAAAAAAATTTTGCAGCTTTTCGACGCTTTTCTTTAACAAAAATCTTCAATAGAAACAATTCTATATAAAAAAATCAATAGGATTTAATTTTTCTATGAAACTTATTTTATTCAGCTTTGTTCTATAGCAATATTTTGGGGCAAATTTTAAGAGTTTTTTGTGCGATGTTTCAAATGAGAAAATGAAAAATAAAGTGGGACTACTTGAAAAATTTATATCGAGGAATTCACAGACAAAATATCTCAATCGGAAAAGTTGTATAGAAAGATCATCTATTAATTTTTCCTTGAAAATTGGTTCTATTGAATATTTTCCATTAAAAAATACGCTATAAAGCTACAGAACTATAGCTGCAAAACTAATCTAATTTGAATGGAAATCGAATCGTTTTTCGTACCAAATTCGCTAGTTTTCTCTGCAAAATTGTCTGTAAATAAAATTTATTGAGATTTTTCGCTAAACTATTTCCGAAGATATTCGGAAAAAAAGGAAAATGAAAATTTGTAAATCCTTTTTTTCTGGACTTATCTCCTTTCATCATTTCACTAGATTAAGTTAAGAATAAGCCAATAATAATTGATAAGTTGATTATTTTTTAAAATTATTGTTTGATGTTTAATGGACCAAGTGGGAAATTTGATACCTTCATAGTTAATTGATGATTCTTCAAATTCATTCTCTTCAAAGTCATCAAACTCAAACAACTTGTTATAGTTTCTATGCTCTGAACTTCTCCTTCAGCAGCTTCGATTTTTATATTATAAATATTTTTGCTAATTGCAGTGGATTCCATTCCTAGATTCCATTGGTAGTGAAAGGGTAGTTCCCCCATATTCGATAATTCGAAGTTAACAATTATCGATTTCTTGATCATCACTTTTCCCAAGTCCATTACATTTTCATAATTTGATCGAAGTTCCACCGCCTCGTCATGACTGTCGATATAAACTAGACGAGGTATGACTTCACACACTCGTGCGGCAATGAGAACATTCAATGGTTTTCTCATCTTCTCGATTTCGATTTCCAGAGAAAAATCGAAATTACCAGTGGTTGTCGGTTTGAATTTGATTCTAAAGATGAAACAAAAAAAAGAATTCAAATTAATTGAGAACAGGAGAATTTGATTTTTGGAAATAATCAAATGAAGTTTTTAAGCTAATAAATTTTCACTACAAAGGGTTGTTATCATTTTTTGCCCTAACGATTTATTTTCTAAATAATTATAATGATTACAATTATGTTTATCACTATTATTGTTATTGCTATAATATTGATATGAATATTTTTTCGTCGATACAAAAACCAAATTCTTGATTCAATCGGGAGCCTCTACTTGATCTGAGTAGGATTGAATTAAGTTAAGAATCTCGGATATCCTAAAAATGTCGAATCGAGTTGGCGACTTGATTCAAGTCGATGTTCTACTCGATGCCAATTTTCATAAAATAATTTTTTGCTTCCGAATGGAAGCCTTATTTTCCGATTTTCTAATTTTGATTGCAAGTGGTCTAGAATATTATGAAACACAAAGAAATGATGTTTTTAGGGTCATGTCTGTATGTAAGTATGTGACAACTTGTTTTTATACTCAAAATGAGTCAGAAACTCGGATTGATTGGATTATATTCCTCCTATTTAAATCAAGAAATAGTTCTTTTGATTGAATGGCTGAATTATGCATGTATCAGAATGGAGCAAATAATCAAAAAATCTAGTGCTTTTATAGTATTTTTGTCGACCTGTTGCGATGGATTTTTTTACTCATATGGATTGGGTAACCACACGAGTAAAAAAACTATCGCAATAGCCCGGGAAGATTTTTTTGTAGTGTTACATATTAGCTAAACATAGGAGTTAGACGAGTATGGATGACATGCGAGTTATATTGAAATTCCCAATGCTATCAGACCCTTCTATTTGCTAATATTTAATTAAATATTCACCTATTTAAGAGATAATTGCATGAATAATGGCGATTGTCGGTCATTTTCAATACTTGTCTCACTGAAAAAATTAATAACCGCCGAACTACGGCGAAAGACAAACTCTAATTGGCGCCAAAATTCTTCTTATTTTATTGAAATTTTTTATTGAAAATTTCAGATTTAAACAAAATGAGCTTTTTGAGTAATTAACGATTGACAAAAAAAACACGTTTTCTTGTATAAACTTCGTCAAAATAAAGATAATGCTATGTATGAGAGCTCATTTTGAAAGGTTTTTCATGTTCTTTGAGTGTGCTAAAGGACGATTTGATAGCATGGAACCTCGGTGAGATATTGGGGCCAATTTGAAAAAAAGTCATTGACAAAAACTCGAAATTCTCAAAAAAATCATAACTCCTCAATTATTAATATTTTTCAATTTTTTTTCAAAATTTTTGTCTAATCATCTTTTCAGAAAAAAAATAAGACGAAAATCCCCAGCATGGACTTTTTTAGCTTGCTGATTTGGCGTGGATCTGTTCATATACTATTTTACCATAACGACTGTAGGCAGCGATCTACGGCCGAAATGACAAAATAGTATATTTCGAGACGAGTGAGACGAAATTTCCACGAGTGTGAAGTTGGCAGCCCGAGGCGAAGCCGAGAACTGCCAATTACACGAGCTGAAAATTCCCGTCTCACATGTATCGATCAATATTTTTTGACAGTGATGTTACGTTCAGCGAGTGGCCGAACTGTGACTTGTTCGTTTACTCGTAAACGAAAAGGCACTTTTCGGCACAAGGTGGACGTAGCAGCAGTGTCAAAAAAAATTTCTAGCGAATATGCATGCAGAACTTGCCTTCGGCATGTCCTGCAACCACATATTCGCCTGGAAAATTGTCTTCGCCGCAGTGACGAAAAATACTATTTTCCTACATCACCGTCAATAATCCATAACTGAATCGATTAAATCAGATAAAACCTTACATCAATGATTTTTCATCCTTCGGCATTAAACTTCCACTCATCGGTTCCACGAATAATCGCTGTAATCCTCCCTTCGAAAACAACGAATTTCTGACCGCAGAAAAGTCCAACGAATTTTCCTCATAATTCGTAAGTATAATAGATTCCTGGACTACATCTCCTTTAAAATTAGCGCAAAACGCGTCAAAGTCCATTGCCATGATTATTACTATTATTATCTTGAAATCGATTGAATTACCTGCGACCGTCGGCCTCAGCTCTACTCTCAATGGACAGCAGGTGATCTGGGGCTCCGATACGACTCCCACTAACAGGAAAGGTACTGTTATTTCATATTCATCAATACAAAACTCCCATAAAGACTCGAAAGTCCCAACATCTTTCGCAAAAAATGAAAATGACATTTGCGTTTTTTCCCTCACTGCTGCAATTCCTTTGACACTTTCACAATGAAAATACGGGAATTTCTGAGCATTTTTAATTATTCTAAGTGTTTCCTCTTTCCATCTGAATTTATATGAATCATCTGTGGGATTAATTAAATTAAATTGCTTTGTGTGGTGACCTCCAACTCCAATGACTCTGAATTCTACTATTTGAATATTTTCTGGTAAATTCTCGACATTTTTAATCGTGTTCAAATAGTCATTTCCGAATTCAGGGATTTCGAAGTGATAATGCGGGAGAAGAGCCTTTCCGCTGATTGGGATTTTCAACTGAGGGATTTGTGGTTCGAGATAGGCGATCTCGCAGAGGAGGCTTGCATTGTATTGTGTTTCCTCTTCAGGTGAAAATGTGAGATGAAACTCGGTTGCTTGATTTGGAAGTATTACTCCGGTTTCAGGGAGAATTTTAAAACACCTTGAGATTATTGCCAATTCATATTCGATACTGACATCCGCTCTCCAGTGCTGTGTCTTGTTCTCGTAATTAAATTCTTCAATAGAATCGAGGGAATTCTGGGAATTGTCATTTGGCTGTTTTTCGAAATAATTCATGGAATGATGATTATCATCGATAATCTTCCATGAGTAAATTACGTTGATGATTCCGGGATTCGTCAATTCAAAGGTGAAATTTCTTTTCTGAAAATTGAAAATAGTAACCAAGGGTTAGATAAATAGGGGGGAGTGCAGGCATTTATGCGAATTTTTTTGTGAATATCTGTGAAACTCGTGGATTTAGAGCAAAATATTGAATGATCTTTTTCATCACGCTGTGTATGAAGTGATGTTTTACGCCTGTTTTGTGTGCGCAAAATCCCATTCCACACGTATTGTGGTAAAAACAAGCAGTCGCTAGTTACGTCGGGATATTGTAACTTGATTTGATAGGTATTATAATAAGGATAATTAAGATATTTATAAAGATTTTTGAGAAATTGCTGTATTTCAAAAACTATTCGAGTGATTGGGCTGAAATTTCAATCAGAAATGCTCCTAAACAATAGTAATTATAGTACGACATTTTAGATTTTTAGCTTCAACTTTATTCCTTTTTCTCTGAAAATTTATTTTAAAAATCATATCGTCACATTTCATGCCATTCTACATCATTTTCAGGTAAAATTAGAAGATCGTAAAAATCAACGATTACAAAACTTTTGTTCGGAAATAAAAAAGGTTCGATACTGGTAGGAAACTTGTTTTCGGCTAGCGCGACGCGCTTTCAACACATCAAAAGATACTGTTACGCACTCATATCGAAATATTTCAGGTCTAGTTCCCTAAATGTATTGATTTCGTTGCTCTTTGCGAAATATAATCTAGTGGTCTGTTGAAAAACACGTATGAGAATATTTCACAAAAAAACCTAGCGGAAAAAAATCAACGAAAAATTACGCAAAAGTGAAATAGATATCACTAATCAGTGTTCCATAAAAATTCCCTGAAAATAAGGTGAAATTTATCTGCCCTTTTTGTACTTTCGCAACAAAAACTTTCAATTTTTCTCTTCCTTTGCAAGGACATTGTTCTATGTTCTAAAGGAAAAAAATTATCTTTTATCTTACATTGTTTGGTTGATTTCAAATAAGAATTCCTGAAATATAATTTTGCTCTCCGATTAGCTACATTGTACAGTTATTTTTTGAGTATTTTTTCCCCCGTGGTATAGCTAATCACAAATACAGAAAAATCTATTCGATTTTTAATAAAAACCTTATTAGTTAACCACATAATTTTATAGGAAGAATCAATAGATTATGCTTTTTCTATCTAAATTATTCTACTGAAATGGTTTCTATAGAGATGTATTAAATATTCATAAACAAATCGATTGAACGTCGAAAAATGGTTCGAAAGACTCACCTCAAGTACGAAAGTATCTTCAAAATTGATTTCCTCCACTGGACAATAATAAGTAGTCCAAGCGGCCACAGCAGAGACCACCAACTGAATGATTTCTGAGTCTTTGCGAATCAATTCGTAATGAGGTTCTTCCGTACGATAATTAATCTCCCTCAAAACTACATAATTATCCCCTTCACAACTTCCCTCCTCCGAATTTGACTCAATAACCTCCTCCACGGCAACAGTTGTCTGTTGGTCATCCCAGCTGACGAGAAATTCTTCAGAAATCTCCAAAAGCTGAATTTCGTCAATAGAGCAATTCAAACACAATCGTTCATAAGTAACGATTTCTCCAGCACAAAATTTCATAATAATCTTCCTATTCTCTAGAGAATTGAGATGACCAACCGACGGGATGAAATGGACATTTTCGTGGCTATTAAACTCGAATCTGAAACATTTATCTTCACAAGTATTCACGATGTCGAATTCCAGAACTCGTTCTTCTTCCACACAGCAAATTCCAACACGAAGTTCATAAGCCAAAGTCACAGATCTTGAAGCATCTTCAACAATGGCTTCCGCCATAGGAGAAGATTTCTTCCTTTTCTTAGTTATGCCACCTTTCTTCTTTTTATATTTTCCCTTTTCCTCACTTGAAACGACAAACTTATCTTCCTCCACAATTCTATTATCTCGAAACCCTTCCGTCAAAGCTAAACCTTTGATAACCACAGACTCAATGAACCCCTCAGCCTTCAGATCAATATTTGTAATTTCGTAAGGATTATCGCTCACAAAAATTCGAACAAGAGCTTCAAAAATTCCAATTTCTCTTGCTTCAAATACTACAGAAATTTTTGACGTGTCTCCACAGTTGCAAATAATCTCTACAAAATTATTTCTCAAATCGTGTACTCCGTGGATATCTCTTCCAGCATCACCAATTTTTAAATAGTAGAGAGAACGAATATCATCAGCGATTTCCGCGATAATTTTAGCGTTGACTTTTCCAGTATTTTTGAGAACAATAGTTTCAGTCTGGGTCTCTCCCAACAGAGATTTTCCAAAATCCAAAGAAGCATTTCCATATTTGCATAAGTGGCTCGGCTCTATGAAAGTGATTTCTGGAATGCAGCCCTCTCCACTCAATTTCACAGAGAGCTTTTGAGACTCTAGGTGATCTGGAAGGACAACTGTTGCTTCCAGGATGCAGGAATAATTCTCCATGCAGGCCGGAGTGAAAGACACCGTGAAAATTCGACTGCTCATTGGCGGAATCATCTCTCTTCGAGGTTCAATGTCAAAGACATCAGCTTTTTCATTAATCCCTTTCGACTGAAGGGTCATTTTAACTTCCGCTGGAACCAAGCCAGGATTATATAACTTCAACCCAACTTCATGAATATTCGAAACAATGACTTTTTCAAAATAGAGAGTTCTGTCTTCTTTCGAGAAAATTGAATGGGAATCGTCAAACGTACAGGAAAAATTATCGATTGTCTCTGCAATATGGCTCTGATAAAAAATCGATGTGAAGTCATCGAAATTAATTGTCGGTATGCAGGAGTCTAAATTGAGGATCAATGGGCGCCCACTCTGGTTTTCAGGAGGGGAATTAGAACATTTTATGTAGACATCGTTACTTAATTTTCCTTCCACTTCTGGATAACAATCAATTGTGATTTCAGTCATCTTTCCAACAGCTATTGTTCCTTCTTGTTTGATTAGAGTGAAGGGGCCAATATTCAAGGGATTGTTCTCGGATGTCGATGGTATTGGGGATTTTTTTGAGTTCTTTGAGGGAATATCAACGATTGATCTTTTTCTTTTCTTCTTGGCTATATTTTTTGGAAGTTTCGGAGGAAAAATCTCTGTTATTTCCGCTGCTTCGGTGGTTTGGAAAGATTTCGAAGCGATTGTGTATTCGACTGGAAAAATTCCGGTGTTTCTGATGGAGAAAAACGTAGTTTTGTGGGTGTAGATGGGGATTGAACCGCAAAATAATTCTGGGTAAGGTTCGATAGTGAATTTCGAGTATTGAGCGGTAATTGAAATTGTTAAAGGTATTTCTGCAATTAGTGCGGCATCTTTCGAAATATCGAAGAGATTGCATTTCATAATTGGAAAATTTTTCAATTTTATTTCCATTTTAGGTGTGAACTCTAGATTTATTGATGTTAATTTGTCTCGAACTAGAGTTCCAGCTAGAGGATTTATCTTCAGATGTTCATTGAAATTTCTGAATAATTTTTTATCGAGTCCCGAGAGTTTTTTGAGTCTTTCAAGTTCTATGACGAAATTTATATCATACTGTCCTCGATTCTTCAGCGAAAAAACTTCGGAAGCTTTCTCTCCTATTTTCAGAGTTTTTAGATCAATTGGATTTGCACCGTTGACGTCCACAGAAACGTCATAAACTTCAGCAGAAATTTTGATATTTTCAGTTAGTAATGATTCTTCGTCATTTTCAAATAAAAATATGCCCAATCGGATTGATTCCTTGTCGATGATGCCAACGAGTTGTCCGTGGAAATAAATATCAAAATGAGTTTCATTCAGCGGTTCGATTACTCCGGAAGATGATGAAAAAGATATTTGAGAGTTGATTTCACTTTCGTCATTGGATTCCATAATCCTCCAAAATACTCGAATTGGAGTTTTATTTTTCAATATAACTCTCCTGCAGTCTTTTCTGTACAACAAAATTCGCCCAAAGTTCAGGATTTTTCCATCAATTTCGATGTCCAACTGGCATCCAGAGGATTTTAAGATTATTTCTTCAACTTGGGGATTATTTAAAATTTTTACCAGCAATTTATCAGTGTTGGGACCCAGCTGAGGGGCTGTAGCCATTATGGTAAGGACTTCTTTCTCTCCCGGAGGAACTGAAGCTGATGATTTATTAAGAGAAAAGGCTTTTGAGTGTCCATTCAGCAACGAAAACTGAACATCAACGTTTATCAGTGAACAATTAGCAAAATTTAATTTAGAAATCTTGTGATGAACTCTTGCTTCTTTCTTGTCGTTCTCTGGAGTCAGTAAAAATCCAAAATCGAAGGTTTTCGTGTCCACGAAAAATGTCGGATCATGAATTTCATCGACTTTTGTTTCTTTTATTCTTGTGAATATCGATTTCGGGTCCATGTTCAAGCGAGGAATATCAGCAATTCCAGATAAGCTGATTCGATGCACCTGGTTATTATTTCCAATGATATTCAGCAAAAAATCTTGATGAAGTTCCCCAGTTTCTTGGGGATTAAATACAACTTTAAAACGTTTTGCTTCGCCTGGGTCTAAAATAGTTCGAGAATCCACAGTTCCTTCATCACTTTCGTGAATGTTTTCAATCTGGAAGGGAACTTCATCAGGCAAAGTTGAGAAAAATCGTTTATTTCTATTGTAGCTATAAAGAGAATACATTTTCTCTTCGATTTGAGGAACAAAATTTTGAATTTCTGTCGATTTAGTCTCCTTTTTCGGAACGTTTTGACAAATTTGATCAATTATGAAGTCATAATTTGTTGGATCCCATGGGTCGGGGAAGGCAGCCAGCCAAGTGTTCGATTTATCATCGATCATTGATTTAATTGTGTCTACATTCCTGTTGTAAAGCTCCATAGCTTCAGCGACCATCTGGTCATGTGATGTTTTTTCTACTTGCTTTTCTTTTCGGCTGCTCCTTTCTCCATTTTCAATTTTCCCTTGTTTTTTATCGCTTTTTGCATCTCCACTTGATTTTCTATCTTTAGCTGGCGCTTGACCTTTCTTTTTCCAAGATTTTTTGGGTTTATCAGCTGGTGCGGGTGCTGGTGATGATAAAGATTGCGTGTCTTCGGGGAAAAAATTGGGAGATTTGGGGGATTCTTCTTCGCTTTTCGATTTTGATATTTTCTTTTTGAACTTCTCACGTCGCTCTCGAGCTTCTTCGATCCTCGGTCGCTGAACTTTCTCAAAGAATAGATTCTTATCATCTTCCGAAAGCCCTTCAAACTCTGATAGGGACATTTCATCCATCACTTTAAGTTGTAATAATAATTTGTCGTTCTCCTCTTTTGCGAGTTGATCTCTTTTCTCCGTGACTTTTTGTTGATAAGTTTCCACAGAATTATGGAAATTTATAAATGTGAGGGATTCTGGGGGTATTGACTCTATAATTTTTGAGAAAGTAGTCGAGTGGTCATCTATGAAAGCGTTATTTAAGGTTTGGAGAACGAATCCATCTTTAAATTCTTCCTTCATCAAAATTTCTTTTAATATTTCGGTAAATGAATCGACTTCAATGCTCACCAATGTTTCTTTCTGTGTTGTTTTGATACTTTTTAAATTTTTTTCAGCCCCCTTCACTTTCAATTTTCCCTTCGCGACTCCTTCGGATTTTTCTAGGATCTTTTGTAATGAATTTATAGCGTCAATTTTGTACTCGTATTGACTCAAAACATCCAATATTTCTAATTCTTCTGAGTCTGGAATTTTCCTGAAAGAAATGAGAGGATCGGGAGGATTGACGAAAGTGTAATCAACATTTCCTTTTAGATAATCTTCAGTTTCTTCACGATCTAGAGCTCTTTCGGAGTTATCTCTCCTTGATGTCAAGTCATCATCTTGAATGAATTTCTGAGCCTTCATCAATAATTCTTCATATTTTTCATCAATTATTCTTCTAACTTTTGAGGAAGTGGAGGATTCTCCTGTTGCGATTGCTCTAGTTATTTCAGAATCCAGATTTAGAAGAGGGATATCAAGTAGTTTCGCAGTTTTGCATGCTGTCTCTTGATACTTCGTGAAAGGAGCTCCATAGAAAATTATAAAACTCTTATCCTTCGGAATATTCACTTTCTCATCCAGTTCAGAATTTTCAGTAGGCGAATTCAATTCAGCAAAAATCGCTGAAACAGGATCTTTCATTTTTTTTGCAAACTCCAAATCTTCGTGGAGTCTATCAATATAATTATGCAACAAATCACCTATTTCCTCTGGAGTTTTCTCAATTTCAGATAATTGTTTCATCTCACCATTAATAGATCCATTTTTTGATATTCGCTGAGCCGGAACTGAATTTTTCTCCTTGAAAAGTCCTGAACCTGAATCTTTCTGATTTTTCTGTTTCTCATCAACCTGTAATGATTCTGTTCCTTCTTCTTCATTAATTAGTGCAGAGTTCCCTTTCTCAGTTGAACTTCCAATATTTTCATTTCCAACAGCTGAACCCTGTAATTCATCTCCAACATCATTGCAAAAATGAGATTTCATTTCTGTTACCAATTCCTCATAAAATTCATAAATTTTCTTGGGTAGAGCAGACCCCAACTGTCTCACAGGCAACAGAATCTCCTTGCTCCCATAATAATGCATCAAAACCCTCATAACTCTCTCCTCCACTACCCCCACTTTATCCAAATGCTGCCATGCAAACTCCAAAGGACTCTTCGATAAATTCTTAACACTGAATTCCTTCTTCTCACTCGTAGCCCCAGGAACTCCGGGCGCAAAGATGATACTCCCTTCACTGATTCTCAATTTCTGATCAATACCACGACCCATCAACTTCAAACTCTCCTTCCTTCCTTCAACAACCTCGAAAACAACTTCCACTTCATAACTTCCTCTCCTCCTAGGTTTGAAATAACCAGAGATGACGCCAGACTCTCCAGGAGAATAAGTTCCAGTTGCGTCAGACAGGCTGAAAGGAAAGTCTGTTGGTTTAGCTTCAGAATACATTATAATCCGCCATTTACAGTCCACAATTCCACTATTTTGAATTGCGAAGGTCATGACTTTACAGTTTCCGATGATAACGTCTCCAAAGTTCAGAACAGGTGTATTTAGCTTTAAAAGAGGAAATGTAACAGTTCCAATAATGGAGATAGGAACTGTGCAGCCGTTTGTAACTTCTAAATAAACTTTCCTCTTTATTTTTTGGGTGTTTTCAGCGAAAATGTCGCATGGAGGGTTGATGCTGATGTCAAGCTTGCAGAATTCTCGAGGCATCAAAGTCACTTGATCCCTGAACTTCACAATAATTCCATATCTTGATAAGTAATTCTTCTTCTCCGGTGGCTTCATTCTAATCGAGATTTTCTGAGGTGAGTAATTGTAGATGATTAATGATTGATGAATTAATTGACCTGCGATCAGGCAATTCATGTCTAAAATGTATTCTGCAGAGTATAAATAAGGAATCGGCCCCGGTTTGTGGACTTTAAGGGTTGATAGAAGAAATGAACGATTCGCTTTTATGAATTCTGTTGCCAAAAATTGTTCAATTCTCATGTCGATGTCGAGGCGTGTTTGGAAGCATTCGTTGGGGTAAATAATGGTCCAATTGTCCTCAGTCAATCGGTGATGACTTCTGATCAACTCCACTGAAAAGTCTTCTCCGATTTGGGTGAAATCATCCAGAGACTGCAGTGCACAATATTCTTTGGCTGAAGGATAATTTTTTTCTGCCCAATTGTGGAATAAATCCAAGTAAATTTGTGGGAGAATCGCACATCCTCGAACAGTTATATTATTTATCGATGAATTCTCTATTCGAATTGTGAAAATTTCCTCGAAATTTCCAGAAATTAAACATTGATAAAGCACTTTAAACTCAATCTTTGACTTTCGAGTGATAATTCCCTCGCTCGGAATAATCTCCAATATTCCTTTTGCATTTTCAAAATCTTCTCTGCGATCGACTTTGAAGGAGAGATTCATTTCGCATGAATTATCGAGGAATAAAACCTCATCAACTTCAGTCAGAATATTTTGAAACCCGAAGTCAATCATTTTCGGGGTCAAATGATATCTCACAAAATCAGTTCTCGCATTAATTTTAATGACTTCGTTCCGACCACTGAGAACTTCACAAAGCAACTGAGCTTTGAGATTCATCGGACGTCTGGCAGAAAAATTAAGGACAATGATTTCTTCTGAATTTGGTGGAATCATTCCTTTTGTTTTTACAAGAGTAAATAAATCGTTGATTGATTCCTTGATAAATTCCCCATGTTTCCCACATTCTTCGTCCGCATCAGCGTTGTTCTCCTCAAAATCTTCTTCAGAATTAATCTCACATTCATCCGAAGGTGTTCGAGATTCAATCAAATGCTTCTTAACACTATTTTTATCCCAAGAAAGATTAAAGTGGACTGGAACAGGTCCTTCGTTTCTCATAATTAAACGGCGCTCGCAGTTATTTCCGAAAATAGCATCAAACTCCAGTTCTTTCGAAGTAAGAGTGACATTAGGGTAATTCACGGAGGCTTTACACCTGATATTGATCCCGTTGAAGCTTCCATCGTACTCAATCCTCACCCTGCCATCGTAAACCTTCGACAAGAAATCATTTTCCTCCTCTTCGGGCACGAAAAATACTTTGACCAATCTAGTATCATCATCATAGATGACGATATTCATCATCTGCACCGTTGACTCTTCCTCCCCAACAATTCTGAACCTTCCAGACGTCAAAATCTTCACATGCAGCATCAAACCCGAACTATTACTGATTTCAAATTCCTTTGTGAGTTCCTCTGAGCAACTCTCCTCATCAGCCCCAACATTGACGAAAAAATTGAGCAGCTTCTTGTTCACTTTAATTGCAGGAACAACGAAGGTAGCCGAGAAGACACTTTCTCCTAGGATTTCTCGTCTTTGTTGACCTTCAGCCATCGCATGAATCCACCAGTGCTCCAGCACATCTCCGGGTGCCTCAGACTGAGCGAGAACTTTAATTTCTCGAGCTGCGTCTGGGCCCAACTCAAACGTAAATGGCTCAATGAAAAATGTTGATGATGTTGGCGGACTTTTTACATTTTTGACCTCCAAATTATTAGAGAAAGACAATTTTTGGATTTTAGTTCCTTCATTTTTAATTATAATCTTTCGAATGTTATCTTGATGCGTCAACAAAACTCCGAATGAAAATTCAGGAAAGATTACAGGATCGAAAATGACGGAAGATCCAGTGCCGACAGCTGATAATTCTACAGAAATTGAAGGTCTGTGCAGAATTTGAAGGATCAGTTTGTCAGAGTGAGTTCCAGGGTCTCTCAACATCAATTCAACATCAATGTCCATTGATTTCAGAGCTGAAACTTCTGTAGATGGTGAAGACACCGTCCAGGGTGATGTTTTGTCCTTCAGAAAAACTTTTACATCTGCAGGTATTGGAGAATCGTTGATGATCTTCAGATTTTTTGATGTTGTCTCAAGAACTTTCACGTCTCCAAAGTCCAGATGAGTGGGTTGAACCGAAATCCGAGGTCCCTGTCCCTCACAGATAATTGGGAAGTACTTTTGGCTCTTTCCCCCACGTGTCAACAAACACAACTCCATCGGCTGTTGCCCAATCGATCTAATAATCAACGTGATTGAAGCTTTCTTCGATTCTTTTGGTTTTAAATGCCACTGACTCCTGGACAACGAATAGAATATTCCGGATCTCTCTGAACAAGATTGCCTGGGGAAATAGCAGAATCCATCGACATCAGACTCGTTTTTTATGCTGAATGAAATAGTATAGGGAAAATTAATGAAGCATGAGCGAAGATTAACGCCGCTGGGTTCAATCTCAAAAACAGGGACTTTGGATTGATAAAAAATCGGAAGGACCTGTTGGACCCCATCAGAGCCTTCCACCTCGATCGTCAGATTATTCCGTCTTCTTCCTCTCGCAACAGTTGGAGTAAATTCTACCATTATTTTTGCCGATGATTGAGGCTCCAGAAGTCTTTGATTCGGAGATATCGAGAATTCTCGAGAAATTGAACTGGAAGTGGATTCATTGGTCGACGCATTTGAGAGTCGAAAAGCGTTGAATATCATTGGAGGTTTTTCCACATCGTCTGGTATTAGCAGCCTGTATTTCACTGGAACTGTCGTTCGATTCTGCAAAGTGACTTCTTCAGTGGACGTGAAGCTGACTCCAGTGACTCCTAGGTCAATCGAGGGTTTATCGAAATAAAGCTTGGGGCAGATGCTGTGGCCCGTAACGTACACCGACATGACTTCTGAACTCTCCTCAATGATGAAGTCAACCCTCTCGACGAATTCTCCAGTTCTTGACGGCGTGAATGATAGATTAAAAGATTTGTATTCGTTCGGATAGAGTTCATGAGACTGCGGAGAAACTCTGATAACTGCACTGAAGTCCGAAGGCTTTTCTCTGTGAACTAGAGTCCCGGGGATGAACCCCACGTTGGAACTGATGATTTCAATGTTCTGGGTGGAGCAGAGGTAGATCTTCTCTATTTCTATTGCCGATGTATTAAGTTTGATTTCTGGACCTCTGCAGATTCCAGATATATTTAAGGGAAGTCTTTGTTCACTTCCGGAAATTTCTAGAAAAGCTGTAATTGCGATTTCCCCCATGACCTGAGGCTGGAATGTCACTAGAACTTGGGTGGAAGATCTGGGCCAGATTTTGCCGCTTGTTGGACATAAAACGAAATTTTTAGAGGAAAAGAGGAAGTCTTCGGTGGTGAGGCATGTTATTTCGTCCTGGAGGATTCTCTCACACGTTTTTTCGTGGATTTCAGAGTTGCAAATGTCGAAGTATTCAAGATTTGTGTAACGGAGGGTCTCTGTGTCTGTTGCGGTTGCGAAGATTTCGGAGAATTTCTCCTTCTCTTCGTTGTCTTCCAGAAGGTTCTGGAACCGCATCCATTGGTAGTCCAGGGTGTAGTCACTGTCGTTGAAGATTTTTATGGTTTTGTCAGTAGATAATCCTAGGAATGTGTCCTCCATCGCGAGATTTTCGGTGGTCAAACTGATTCTGCAATTGGTAGTGGATCCTTGGGTCCTAATCCTTATTAGTTCTCCTGTTTCGTATTTAAGAAAGAATAGACCTGTGAAGTTTCCGAGGGATGGAGCCATGAAGTTTAATGTGAATTGGAGGTTTTTGTGAGGGTTCAGGATCCCGTTAGAGGGTTTGATCGAGAATTGAGGGCTCAGTGACAATAGCTTGAAGACTGCTGGGGCGCTCCCGAGGTTTTGGACAGTGAGCGGTATTGCGGAGGGGATTTTCACGGCTGTGGGTGGAAGGGTGATGATGTCCGGAAAGTTTAGGATGGGTTTGGGACCTAGAGCTGGAACAATTCAATTTTCCAGAATTTCTACATTAATCTCATTCAAATAATATATTATGTCATCAGGCGATAAAAGTATTATCTGGCGAATGTGGTTATAATCCGAGCAGAAGGCGAGATAATGCTTTTATCGCCGTATGACATGCGATATTTTGTCGTCTCGCTTCGCTCAGTTAGGCCGCGCTTTTCGGGCCTAATGACATAAAATTACTTCAAAGGTAAACGTCATGGAAAGCTTTTTTGTTGATATAAATATTCTCAAAAGAGAAATTCCAGAAATTCCTGGAGAAAATGTTGAATGACACCTACTGGGGGCTATTCTCTGACTAAAGCAGGAGTCCCTTCTAGTTTAATCCCACTAGGTCCCAACATACTTTCATTGTTATCAATTGTTTCGTGTCTGACTAGAATGGATTTTTCTACTGCAGGATAGGATTGCATATACATATACACCTGCTTTGTTATTAATGCAAAGTTTGCATTTTGCTTTCTGATGAGTGAGAGGAAAGTGAACACTTTCTGCTCAAGGGCGGAAAGTTGTTCTCCTGGGAGGGAAGTACTGATTACTTTAAAGTGAGTTAAAGGTACTCACTTTCCTCCCGCTTATCAGGGAGAAAAATTCGAATTTTTCGTGTAGGTGTGTGAAAAATATACTATTACGAACTCGAATCGAAATATATCATTCTGCAATTTGTCATACTTTACGAATGCTGACCAGGATTCCAATGGAAAAATTATGGAATGATTTACGTCGATAATTTGTTCATCAGTTCTTGTCCGAGATTTTGGATGACATTCCCTGAAATTATTTGCGATTTGAGGGTTGTGATTATTCTACAATCTCGTTGAGTAATTTTTGGAGGTGTTATCAATATACACCTCCACTTTGGAATTTTGGAAACTATTACAGAGGAAGTATCTCCTAATATGTTCTCCTAAACCCATTTGTTCCTAAGATAAATCTTAGACAAATATAGGTATGAGAAGAAAACTTCTCGCCTGACTAGGGTTGGACACCTACCACTTCACATTTTAATGCGCTGTCAATTTTTTGAGATTTTCCATTACTGAGTTTAATATTCCTGAATTGTCCACTCACCAATTATTGGAACCGAAAAAAATCCTAGATCAGTCGATATATTCAATTGATAATCATAATCTTTGGTGTCGTCTGGAGAAAATTTGACGTTATAAATATGAGACATTCCAGGTGCCACTTTAGTGTTAAAAATCGACCCCTTGAACTCAATTGAAAATACTGGGCTATATCCTGGTACAACTTTAACAAAATGCGACTCCTAAAAGTGTAAAATGATGAATAAAATTAAAAAATTCACCTGAAAGGATCAAATTAATTTGTGAATAAATTGAATTTGACTCACCGTATCTGTATTTATGATTGTAATTGTGGTATTGTATTTCTTTTTAGCAAGAAACTGTTGGAAAATTACGATGCTTGGCGTCACTTTAAGCTCGCTGGGATATAAGAACTGTGTTTTTGCAGTCGCCAGAATTTCGAGCCGATCCTCTGTCGACATAAGGAGTTGTGTTTTGTACTGAGAAGGCGTGAAGGATACTGCACTGTCCCTTCCTTCGTCGCCCTGACCATATTGCTCTTCTCCTGGCTCAATGAAATGTGACAGGATACTCATGACGTCAAGTTTTCGATGGAATTCTTTTTCACGAAATTGTCCTGGCTCCATTTTTTTCAATTATCAATTATTCAATTCCTTCATCTGATTGTAATCGATCTCGAGGTCATCAATGTTTAAGGGTTTGAGTTCATTGAACACATTGCCATGTTATCGACTCGGTCTCAGGAACAATTCAAAATTTCACTATTGAAAACCAACTTCAGGTCTTTCGGATATGTTTTATCAAAAAATGAACTTATCAAATAAGCGAATCTATGGCTCATCATTTATTATCGACTCTAAGTGATTGCCCATAAAAATAGTTTATTTCTTCAATAATTCAGTAGTGAAGTGGTCAAACGGTTTAAGTCAATTCCATTCTAGCGCCAGTTCTCGATGATTATCTCAAATCCTAAATGAGTTGGCTAAATTTTCCAAAAAATTTTTTTTTGTAAAGAAAAGTGAAGACTCGAAAAAGATTTTTCAAGAATTTTGTTATCTTTCTTCAATTCCGAGTTATTCAACAAAAACTCAACTGGGAGCTGAGTTGACTTAAACCGATTGACCACTTCACTACTGAATTGATAGCCCAATTGTGACTGCAAAGCGAATCAATACCCTGTTATTATAATTTAGCTTATTCCGGCAAATAAGACGAGTCCAAAGAATTTGTACAGACCAATTTCCAAATATTTCTAGGGCAACTCCATTCAAAAATAATCGCAGAAAAATCTCTTCGTAAATCATTTTTGAATTCAGTTTCTTGTCTTCACAACTTCAGAAATTAATTGATTTATTCAATTCCTCTTTATTTTTGTCCTGTGTCCTTGAGTCTTCCTTCTTACGTTGATGAGGAAAATGAAATGAAAATGAAAATCACAGAACAGATGAATCATTGTATTTTTTTTATTGAGTAGTTATAATACAGTTTATCTAGGTGGAATTGACACAATGAACGAAGTGCAAGGAGAAGGCATAGGGCAGGGCATGGGACAAGACATGGGACATGGGGGTGGACAAGGGAGTGGACAACATGGCTTTGGACAGGAAGCCATACAATTTATCTGATGAGGGGGTGGACATAGCGGTGGACAACAAATTTGCATCATTGATGAACAGGGTTTGGGACAGGGGAGTGGACAAGGAACCGGACAACAGTTGGGCGACATTTGACACATGGCCATCCCTTCATTCCGGCTAGGGGGTGGGAACGTCAGGGGAGGGAGGCAGTATTTTTTGGGTCCACATGCAGCTTGCAGAAAGCTCAGTGGAACGCAGCATTTGGGTTGAGGTTTTGAACAAGGTGAAGGGCATGATTGTTGTGGTGGGCACGGTGGTGGGCCGGAGAGTATACACAGGCGCGGACGCGGTGAAGGGCATGGAGGGGGTGGGCATTTTGGTGGGCAAGAGACTACACACATTGGTGGACATGGCGGAGGGCATTTTGGTGGACAGGAAATTACACACATCTGTGGGGACGGAGGAGGACATGGCGGTGGACATTTCGGTGGACAGGAGATCATACACATGGGTGGACATCGAGCCGGGCATGGTGATGGGCATGGCGGTGGACATTTAGGCATTTTCGAAGCACAACAGGGGTCCACCACCCCCTGGAAACAGCACATTCCAGGACAGGGACCCGAGGGACAGCCGAAAGGGGGGCAGGAAATATTGCAGCACTCTGGCTCTGGCTTTCTAAATTTTAATCACTTCTATCAGTTAAAAATATCAATATTGAACTGACTTCAGTGGTTTCGGCTGACGAAACCACTGAAGTCAGTTCAGTAGTGAAGTGGTCAAATGGTTTAAGTCAATTCCATTCTAGCGCCAGTTCTCGATGAATATCTCAAATACTAAAGGACTTAGCAAAATTTTCCTAAAATTTTTTTTTGTTAAGAAAAGTGATGACTATCGAAAAAGATCTTACAAAAATTTCGCTATCATTCATAAATTCCGAGTTATTCAACAAAAACTCAACTGCAAGTTAAGTCGACTTAAACCGATTGACCACTTCACTACTGAATTCATGCATTCATCTTGAAATCTAGCGATTATAAGACAAATTTCCGAGGCTCTTTGAACGCGATTAAGGCCTGTCTTCACCGTTTTTTAAATATTTTTATCCCTAAATTCCCCAGAATCCATGCTCATTGTTCCCGTTTACGGGTATACTAATTGCGGGCGTAAAAAGACATGGAAATTTCTGATTTAGGGGTCAAATGAAAGATCATAACATCTCATATGTCGGTAATTAGGTCTCAGAGAGGAATAATGATGATCAGTATCTAATAATGAGGATATATCTCACCTCCCTTTTCGTGTTTCAAATCACCATATGGCGACCAATCTTCCAATATGACGGCCGAATCCCACTCTCGAAACAAACACTAATTATAATTCCGACGGAAACAGCACCCACTCGAGACCTAGTTTCCGACATGTGGGAGGTTACGATCTTTCGTTAGACCTCAGGATTGCAATTTTTCATGTCCGTTTACGCCCGCAATTAGTGTACCCATAAACGGGTATAATGAATATGGATTCTGGGGACTTCAGGGATAAAAATGAAAAAAATACGGTGAAGACAAGCCTTAAATTCTCTACACAAAGGAAATTCTTGGTAATTTTGTGGATAATTTTGTGGCCCTGATAAATCAAACTCAGTTACCCCTAGATTCATGGAAATTTCCCAGAGTTTCTCTTTCTTCGCTGGATTTTTTTTCCATAAACTCAGAGTTAGTGGAGGGTGGGGTAAAATTGACACTTAGACTTTTTTATAATTATTCATAACTCAAAAACAAATTTATTAATTGAGCTCAGTTTAGGCTCACCACAAAGGGAAAGAATTGTTCTTTGTATTGAAAAGAAAATTATTAAATTTTATCAACATTTCAACCCCTCATTAACATTAAAAAAAAGTCGAAAGTGTCCGTTTTACCCCAACCTCCCCTAACTCTGGGTTTGATCTATCAGGGAAAATCAATAATTCCCCAAACGATTGTGCAACTCTCGAAGAGCAGCTATTCTGGAGTCAATGACTTTATTATTCTATATGAATTCGATGTAGTATATTTCAGGGCATGTGCCGTAGAGTTTTTTACGCGTGTGGAGTTGGCCCCGAGCCGAAGGCGAGGACTGGCCAACCACGCGAGTAAAAAAAACCCAATGGCACCAGTTGTGAACGATATTTTTCTGTAATGTTTTTCACCTTTACGAGTTTGGGGAAGGACCAATATCACTCCCCGGACGAGGAAAAGTGAAGGTCACTACGGAAAAATTATTCATTGAAGAAAAGTTAGGTTTGACGAACCGAGTCTCAATCTCGCAAATGATCTTCCCCAACTCCTCTAAAAAATTCCTGTTACTCTTCTTGCACTGGGCCATGACAATATTTTTTCAGATTAAAATTTTTTCAATGAATTCAACTGCACGAGAATTTTGATGTGTCAAACGTACCTCCTCCTATTCACTTTGATACGTCAAGTGCTCCGCCAGTCACTTATTTAAATCGACCGTAAAGAAAAACTGAAGCCAAATTCACGAAGAACTGAATTCCATGATGTATATTTTCAAAATTTTCTGCAAAAATACATACAATGTAAAAATACTAACGAAAACATTTTAAGAGATTCAAAATGACGAGTTAAAATGCTTCTCCCCAGCTATTCCTCAATATTGTCCTGGAGAACATGAATTTGGAATGAATTCTGGTTTTCTCCCGATGTACTTCACTCCTCCAATGACCCTGGGCTCCTCAAAAAACCTCCTGACATAACACTGTCCCTGAATCTGCCCGTGTCCATTCCCATCCCCTTGGCCCCCCCTCAAACAACTTTTCGGGGTTTCCTGGAAATACTCCTGCCTCTGCTGCGAGTACATATCAAACGGCACCGAGCTCGACCTCCCAACATTCAAGCACTGTTGACTCCCAGAAGTGCCCCCTTGAACTTGATTATTAACATGAGCCTGGAAATTATTTTTGTATCCTTGCGAGGGGTCTCCTACATTTCTAAGGGCGGAGGCACAATTCTGGTGAATCCCATCGTTTCCGAGAGATGGATGCATCGAGTAAAACTGCTGATCTCCCTCTACTCTTCCCGGATACACCGGCATTGATTCACTCCCGTTCCTCTCGAAAATCGGAACTGGTGGACGAGGATTATCAGGATTCCTCTTGTTCTCAAGTCCATTAGCCCTAGCTTCTCTCTTCAACTGCTGAAGAACGTAATCTGGAGGTCGATGTGGCCAATTTTGAAGAAGACTCTCTTCGGGATCCTGAATTCCATTCAGCTTTATCTGCTTCTCCTTCTTCTCCAAATTGGCTAGATACTCCAACCTTTTCCTGGTCACTGGGTTCCTCAAGGCCTCCATAGCTTCTTTCACAGTTGCAGCGTCCTGGAGTCCATTATTCTGTCTCTGTCTCTTGACAACGTCTTTGTATATTTTCAGTTTCAGTAAGCTTGAAGGCTCCACTCTCGCTTTTCGGTCTTGAGAGATGAGCTCTTGATTGTTTTGGGGTTGAAAAGTCTGTTGTTGTTGGAGACTGAGCTTTGGACTATTCTGATAGTATTGATACGAAGGGTGATTTGGGACTTGCTGCGTATGATGATGATGATACTGTGCAGGAAGATGCGCATTTGGAATCATCATCCGCTGTTCTTGCAATTGTTGATAGACACCTGGATTGACTGATTGTTGTATCAATTGCTGCAGATTTTGTTGTTGAAGATCCTGCTGCTGCATCTGTTGCTGCATGTTTTGTTCCTGCTCTTGAGGATTCTGCTGGTCCTGTTCTCTCTTCTGTTCGTTCGTCTCCCTCTGCTCGAGACTTGCGTAAGACACCCAGGGAGGGGTGATATGCATCATCCACTCTGGTTTCTCATCCTCGTCCACTCTAGTGATCCTTCTCCTTCTGGGCTGCTCTGTATTCTTAGAGGCCCTTGGATTGTCATCCGGGTTCTCCAGCTGATGAAGGAACATCAGTTGCCTCTGTTGCTCAGCCAAAAGCCCATCGAACTGACGTTTCATAATTTCATCAGGAAACCCCTGTTGCCTCAGTATCTGCACCAGTTTTTCCTGGTCTCGAATCATCTCTGGGGTGAATTCAAGGACTTTACGAGGGTTTTTATCCTCCGGGTCTCGTTGACGAGGGTATTCGCGTTGCTGTGGTGGCTGTACGGTTTGTTGATGACGTTGATGATGATGCTGGGGGGCTAGAGGATAATTAATATTATTTGGATATTGCTGTAAGGAAGGAGCTTCCCCTTGGTCTGGCTGTTGTGGAACTTGTTGTTGATGATGGGCAGGAGATGGATTGGAGAACTGATATCCTGGATATTGCAACCAGGGACCTCCCCCCTGCTGGGGGTAAACGTGTTGCTGGTACATTCTGCTCTGATTCATTGACACATCCTGGGGAGACGTCATCCCCAGTCCGGGAAACTGTTGGGGGTACTGGAAGAATTGCTGTGGGTAATTGTGCAGATACATTTCATGGGAAATTTCTTGAGAATCGTCAGCGAATTGCACGTGATTGCGGTGTTGTTGATGTTGTTTATGATTGAGTCGATCTTCAGAGATCGCTGCAGCTTGGAGATTCTGATGAGGTCCAGAGATTTGCTGTCTGAAGACGGCAGCGGTTCTACCGCCCACCGGCTGGCTCTCCATCTCATCAGGCTCCTTCGTCTTCAGGAAGTTTCCTTCTGACTGGTGTTCCGTGATCAGTCGTTCGTCATGGGTCACAGGCCTTGGTACACAAGGACGATGGGGCTGTCTCTCGGGTGATCTTTTGAGAGGGACGACGTTGAAGACTTCCGGATGACTGGAGTGATTTTGCATCGATCGAGATTGAGGAACTAGTTTATTCGGCTGAGGCGCAATGTCGCCGTCTCCGATCATTTGGAAAGGCGCAAGTGTTGTCTCGACTCGGGGGGAAGCATCAAACCTCCTGAGTTCTTCTGCTGGGAAACTCTTCAATCGGGGAGAGAATTCTGAAGATCTATCGTTCGATGTGAATTTTGTTTTTGGGGCTAAGGGTTTCGGGTGTATCTCTGGAGCTTCCGGGTTTATTTTGCAGGACTCGGCGTTGCCGTGTTGAATGCCTTTCTCAAGGGGTGGAGGCTCCGAACTCTTTGGGTGAGCAATTCCGTTCGTGTTTGGATGGAGTGCAGCTACACTCGACCGTTTCCCCAAGGCTTTTTGCCTACGACTGCCTTCCAATACTTTTCTGTAATTTTTTTTCACATTTTTTTTGGTTAATGACAGAATTACGAAACGGGAATTTGTTGGGTTTTGATTGGGACTCACCTTCGATTCATTCTTGGAGAATTAGAAATAGTGAGTAATTTAACGGAGGAATATGGATGTGGTAACGACCTAAAGTACGTTTATACGAATTTTGTAGAATTTACGGGAGAAGCGTTGAATGAGCTGCGGAAGAGTGAAGTAATTATCAGATGGAGAATTTCTGTTTCTATGACAACGGGGTGTGGAAAGTTTAAATTCGATCGAATTTGATGTCCAGGAGAGATTTGAGTGAATCGACATATGATTTGGTTTATTTTCAATGCAAATACGAATTTTTTCATCTGGATAGTTTTATTGCAGGAATATGTGCACCGAGAACCATATAGTCATATTAATATTTTGGTGATTGAATGATGAAAGAAATAACATTATCGATCTGATGCCTCACTTCCTCTTATGATTTCTGAATTGTTTGCGTTCTTTTCTATAATGTGGAGTAGTTTTCTCGGAGTTGCTGAACGAAAGTATCGAAGAACGTGCTCCAAAGGCTGAGTGGAAAAAAAACCAATAGTATACGGGAGGTAAAATAAAGGACCCTCGCCTGCGGCTCGGGTGATAATTCTGCACGTGGGCACGACTCCTTTATTTTACCTCCCTATATTAGAAATATAGGAGCAAAATGAGACCCCTATAAAATTTGAAATTTTACACAAATGATTGATTTATCTACAGTTACTAATGAAATACCCCATTGTTAGGAGATTTACAGTAGGGGAGGGTGTGCCTGTACCGCTCAGCGGTTAATACCGCTCACCCGATTTTCTCCGCAACCATCAACTTAAAAATTTCTTTCTTTTCCTGATCATGAAGAATTTGATGATAGGATGTGATTGTCGGAAAATTTTCACTTTATTTACCACTTTAAATATGAAAAAACACGTAACGAAGTTTTGAGGTCTTTACAGTGCAAAATGTGGACTTTTAATCAAGATTTTTGGTAGTTTCAAACGCTGAATTCTCATATTAAACTGTGGTTATTCGATTCGTGGTACTTTCACACGTAATTTGAGATCATTTCGAACTCAAAACTCCACTCATGTCAATAATTATCAACAATTTTGTTGACGCCGAGCGGAGCCGGTAATACCGCTCATAGGATCGGCCACGTAGTTGCTCGACAGCACTCGAGTACAGGTTAGGTTGCGGCGCGAGCGATACACGCAAAACCCTATGAGCGGCATTGGAATCGTGCCGAGCGGTATTACCCCACGGCGGCTAGTACCGCTCAATAGGCTCTCTCTTTTATTTTCAATCAATTTTGTGGATTCAAAGGAGAATTAGGCGTCTACACTTTGAGAATAATGAGTTCAATAGTTAAAGAAGTCTCACAAATACGTTTTTTATACTCAAGTTCAAATATAAAATATAAAACTGGCATTTCCCCTTAGGTGGGCGGTACAGGCACACCCTCCCCTAGTATAAACATAACTCAGATTTCAAAGATTACATTCTGAAAAAATTCTAAACGGAAGTTCATAAGAATAGAAGCATTCTGGCTAAGTAAGCGTTCAATTATTAGTCTAGTATTATTCATAACAATTAATTAATAAATGTCAAAATAACACAGAGTTTTATGAGAAAATCGGCAATACAAATACTATGCCTAATACGAAAATTAGCGTGAGTGTCAAAATTTTGTGATAAATAATTTTATGCCATAGGTGCCCAGAATCACGCGATTCTAACCTCGCTTCGCTCGGTAGAATCGCGGATTCTGGGCCCTATGACATAAAATAGTATACGAAACTCGTGCGTAATGGTGTTTTTTGACTCGTGGGATTGTAAAACTCGCCTTCGGCTCGTTTTACATCTTCCCACGAGCCAAAAAACCCATTACGCACTTGTTGCATAATATACTATAAGCATCTGAATACCCCGAATGTACAGAATGCCTTAATCAAATGAGAAACTATTGTTTAAGAAAATAATTGTGTAAAGAATTTGATGGATTAATTTCTCATATTCGTCAATGTTAGAATTCATGTAAGAAATTGTCAATGATGAATAATTTTTTTCCCGGCATTTCAAATTTATTTTTTTCGCGTTACACCCAACGACTCACGTGGAATTTTTATATACTGCTTTAATATATCGTGTAATGTATAACAACAAGTTGCATGAAATCTCTGAAGCTCAGCAGATTTGATATCGCCCCTACTAGAATTTATGTACGGCATGCCGGATCTAACCTCCGCCGAATTCGGCCCTCATAAGGCCCAGATAAGGCATACCTCATCCGGCTTCACCGAATTCGGCGCGAGCCTCGTGTATTGTTAGGCATGCCGAATAGGGTATACCTCATCTGGCTCTCATAAGGCCCAGATAAGGCCAACCGAACCCAACTTAGACGAACTGGGAGAATATTTTTCTCATCATAGACCCACCCTTCAATTTGTTTAAGGGTTGTGACGAGGCATATTCATTAATTTTTTTATTACTTTTCTACATATTTTTTCCCACTACACCCTGCCCCCTAAAAGGTAAATCCCGCCACCGTTGTATACTCCTTCCCCAGACTTTTCCCCTCATCGCCCCTCTACCCCCGCACCTGGACATCACGAAGACATCAGCCGAAGGGAGACATCAGTTCCGGCCCCACCCGATTAATTGGAGAAGCCATCGCCTCCTGGAAATTCCCCATACTGGACCCCCGAATATTCAACATCTGCAATAATCCCTTGCGAAACATCCGTGGATTGTGGTCATCGTCACCACTCACCCGTGCTGATTGGCCCCGATTGCTCCCGAATTAAAACCCGAAGGACTTCGACACCTGACGAACCCCCACGAATCGCGGAGGAAAAAGAAAGACCGTCACTCATGTAATCGCTGTTCTGGGCACTGCCACGTGCGCCCCAAGTCAAGTGAATAGAAAGTGAACATACCCCGAAGTCGGTACATTGGATTTTGTTCGAGTAAAGAGGATTTTTGGTGCCCGAGCTTATCCCGGCTCTAAGTACTGTGCCCCTGGAGTCTGGAAGGAGGAACGAAGGCTCAATCGCTGGAGTCGCTGAAGGACCCGGATTAGACCTTAACTGGAAGTCGTGAGTACGAGTTGTCCCCCTCATTTCCCCCTCGCCTCAAGAAGTATTCCTTTTCATACCCCCCAACGGTGAGCCTACACTCTTTTGTTTTTTCCCCATTCGGTCATTATTTTTATATTTAGTTGCATTCCCTCGACACGACTAGCTTCTCTATCTTCTATTCGTAATTGGTTATATCCTCTAATAGCAGTAGAGGCAAGCACCAACACGACTAGCTTCTCCCCTTTTTTCTGCATTAGAGTCACTCCCTTTGCACGTGTACAAAAGTCGCCTGGCCTCCCCCACTCCCTAGATCTCAGTAAAGGCTTTATTTACGTCTTTTGACGATCAGAATTGTATAAAGAGAAAATATAGGTAATTATTCTCAAATTATCCCTTATTTGTCCCTTTTCTTGACTCGCCCTAATCCTCTTTTCAGGAATTAGTTTCATAGTATCGAGAAAGCGGTCACAGGGTCAATCGGCCCTTAGGGTTGGACATCCCTTTCATTTGCCTATGATAATTGCCTTATTGCTTTTTTCTCCAGATCAACCCCCATTATCATTTGATATTCATAGTTATTTTCTTTATAGATCTCTTTTGATCCTCGAGATTATTTCTTTCAACCCTTTTGGTTGACCCTTATAATCATTTGGCTCTCGAATAAGGTGTTCCCGGCCCTTCTATTTGACCCTAGAACTAGTGGTCACTGATAAAATCCTAGCCGATTGCCGAATGTCTACCGAATCTCTGCCGAGGGTGCGAGGGGGGAGTGGAAGGGGAGAGGATGAATTTATAATTGTTATAATGATATCAAACTATTAAAACGTCAAAAAACATAATGAAAGTATGTATATGCAGGCGCCCGTGGTTCATATAGACAGTACGAATTTCATAAAACACGAATAGCGCGGTAGTCTAGTCGGCTAAGGCGTAGGATTAGTAATCGGTAGGTCTCGGGTTCGAAATCAGTCATAGGCGGAATATTTTAGGTTAAAAAAAATCGGTTCTTCCGCGATGAAAACGTTGGGCGGTCAATAGTGATGAATAATAGATGACCAAATTTGATTGCAAATAATTATTTTATTTTTTTTACATTATTGGGGATTATCACGGATGGCCGAACCATCCATGCATACATATATTTGCAATTCTTGAACCGGTGTCATTCAAAAATTTTCGGAACAATTTTGAGAGTGAGCATTGAATTAGAAATAATTGATGATAAATTACCAATAAAATTGATAATAATTTTAATTGGCTTCTATGTTTCGGCCTGGATACGACAACCACGATCCGGCCCGGACGTTTAAAGTGCGTAACGTTTTTCGTCCGGGCCGGACTCGATTGACCACACCAGCACCGAACGTTAGGCTCGGCATGCCAAATCAGGGCCGAAGGGTTTGCCGAGTCAAATTTCTAGTAGGGAAGTAGCGGGAGAGAAGGCGGGAGGGGAATTGGTTATTGTGGATCTCAAGAAGCGAGCAATCTTCAGGATCCAACGGAAGAGACAGATGTAGTAATGTGTAGAGTTACGAAAGGTACAGGGTCACACAACAGGGACGGGTTAAGTAATCAGAAGGATCAAATGTTCTTAACGGCAGAAGCATCTATGAGGTTCAGAGAAGAGCAAGGATTGAAGTGCGAGTGTCCAACGTCGCAAGGATCATCGGTTAGAAGATCCCGTCTTGCGAGGATCAATATATTATTATTATCTGCATTTTGATTGATTTTTGGACAGGGGAGATAAAGGATAGAAACTAGTGGGGTGGGTTCTTCGTCACGTAGCTGTGCTTGCCTCCATCTGGGGTGCGTTGATATATGTACACATATTGCTGGTCGCTCGCTACACTCGCTCCCAAAATGGATACGCTAAAGATAGTGGGTTGAAATGAATGTGACCCATTGGGGCCGCACCAAGAGCTTACCCATTCATCTATTCACCATATGGAATTACTGTTTTTTACTCTTTCATCGTAAAAAACTGAAGAATCGCTCGATCGACATGGACCAAAATCTTATCAGCACTAAAGACCGTGAAGACTCATCAAAGGTCCACACACACACATACAACATTTGATGAAAAATCGAAAATTGATTTTTGGAGGGATTACAATAACTTCTCTTATCGAGAGATTAATAATTGTAGACACATTCAAGCCGAATTTCATAATTTTATTTCTTCAATAATGATCAATTTTTTTAATCGTACAGTTTTCTCAATATGTACTGTTGAAAATTTCTATCTGAATTTTTGCGTCACACCCAGGAATTTTTTATCATGTCAAATATCCATTGAAATAGTATCCGAAATATTCTTATAGAAAAATCAAGCATTCCATTGAACTGTAAATTTTTATTCCATTGTTCCGTAAATATTCAAAAAGATTATGGATACTCAAGTGAACATTGGAAATTCCGGATATTTTGATAGTGAATATTTATGGTCAATGGAAAATTCAAGTAAGTTGTGAAATTTCTGTCTCACACAAAAAAAATAAAAGATGTTTTCCCTAATATCCACCGGTGGGTGCACCTCGGCTGGCAAAAACTAGCGTTTTCTTTGAGAGAACCAGTAAAAACGTCGGATTTTGCCACTTGACGAGCGCCCACGGGTGGGTTTTGGGCAAAGTCCTAAGATCTTAAGTCTTTCTCCATTTCATTTTTTCCATGCGCTTCCACTGAAACTTCATAGATTACCTTGAATTCAACATAAAACTTAAATTTTATAATAATTTTTCCCTTAAATCGAGTCCAATTTCACTCTCATATAAAGTGTGATTAAATTTCAACCCTTTTTTAAAAGCGTCATTTGAAAGCCTCCATCTCAACTACTTCTTCACCAGTGTTCCAGTGTATTCCCCGAATCCAACTCCATCGCGATCAACGAGTGCAATGACCATATTAGTCTCACCACCCGATTGTATCAGCTGGTTTTCAACATTGTCACAAGGGAGAGTGACCTGCCGAGAACCCTTCCCTGTTCGCTACAATCAAATTGAGAAATTAATGAGTAGAATTCAATAGCGAAGCGGTAAACCAGTTCAAGTTGATTTTGACTATTGGCCAGTTTTCAACAAATATGTCGCAATGTAGGGGAGATAGCAAAATTTTTGTCATTATCTTTCTTATAGCCCTTAATTTGCTCGCCAAAAAAGGTCTTAACGAAAATTTCATTATCTCCCATAAATTCGGAGATATTCATCGAAAACTCTGCTAAGGGCTAAGTCGGCTTGAACCGTTTTATCGTTTCGCTACTGAATTGATTAGTCATAATTAGTACGACACGGAAACGAATTTTTACATCATATTGCCACTCCCAGCAGTTGGATAATCCGGTGACTTCAGTAAGTAGCTTGCCTATGAATGTCCGCAAGGGCGGAACGTCACTCTTCTTCTTATCGCATAATGCTCCTTTGACACGCTTAACTGCTGTGCCCCAACCGAAATCGTAACGAACTTGAAACTGATAAGTTATTGTTCAAATCAGAGAACAATTAAAAATTTATAAAGTAAATGAATTAAATCAATAACAGCAATGCACAAACTTTCAAATCATACGTTTCCTCCCAACGATTCGTAATGGATGTAGACCCAGAATCACTATCATCGACTATTGCTCTATTACCCAGACTGACTGCATCGTAGATAGAGATCTGGCAATCACCTGCCTGATAGATCGAAAGGCCTATTAGGTTGCCCAAAAATATGCATTTTTTGACATGCAGAAAAAACAGTTTCGAGTTTCCAGAGCTGAATGAAAAGCGAATGAAAAAATCGCATAGAAATTTTCTACATGGATTGCGTATTGAATTTCTATAGGATTTTTGTATATGATATTCATATATTTCTATATGGATATTTTTTAGACAAATTATTTCTATACAATTTCTATAGGTTGGATCCTATACGACCTACTGCCACATGTATAGAAACATTTCGTATAGAGTTGCGACATTTTTCTACGTTTTTCTCTGGAGCGTTTAGACATCTTTCGTATGAAAACAAAAATTTACGTATAGAAATAATTTGTATAGAAAATATTCGTATAGAAATATCCAAATATCATATAGGGAAATTCCATACAATTTCAATACGCAATCCGTACAGAAAATTTCTATATGATTTTTTCCTACGTGAAGTTCCTAATTGTCAGAAACTCATGGTTCTAATAGAAGGCATTGTACTGATAATGAGAAATTGATCACTCAATTTTTTAAAACTCCTACAATTCAGTACCCAAAAACGACATATTTGTGGTGATAAAAGTTCTTAAATCAAAAACCATTGGGCCTTTGCGTTTCTGAATTAAGAAGCTCCGAAAGGGGTAAAATTCTGGAGTAATCGAACATCAATTCAATACTAATTGAGTCAAAATATCAAGTGAACAACAGAGGATTTATAAACAGGAAAAATTGTTACTCCATGAAGGAGAATATTCCTAATTTGAGAACCCGGATGTTCTTCATGGACGAACTGCAAGGTTCTGATTCAAAAACCCCAAAAGGTCTAAATCCGAGAACCAAGATTCCCTTATAATAAAAGAAAATATATCATGAAAAAAACTAAAATTACGCTACGCAATGGAATTTCACGTTTCTCTAAAAATTCAAGTAGTCAATTTCCTTCTTCTTCTATTTCAAATGGCTTTATCCCCAAAGTCTTAATTTTTTAGTGGTAGAAAGATGGCAATTCTACAATTCACATGAATTTTCAGGGGAAAATGAATATTCACTGCCAAATTCCCTACAATTTTCAGGGAATTCCTTGAAAATTCCTGGAATTCCAAGAATTTTTTAAGATATTCTCTGAACATTCATTTTTCTGGAATAATTAAACTGAAATTCATAGTTCCCACGTACATTTCCATGCAATTCTGAATTTTCAATGACAAAATTCCTGCAAATTTTAGCAGACATTTCATTTGTTAGAAATTTCCAGGACCTTACCGGAAATTTCAGTGGAAATTTTTAGAACAGTGTAGATTTACGTGGAAAGTACTGAGAATTAGAACTTTTTTCTTTGATTTTTAAGAAAACTCCTTTTAAAACAACAGAGAATTGTACTTATTTCCACCGTTGTTTGCTCGTTAGATTTCAATACGCCACAATTCTCTTTCTGTTAGTTTATAGTGAGATTTGCTTCAACACGCAACGCCGTATGAATATTAACAATTTCAGCTAATATTCTATATTTGAATTTAAGTCAAGTATTCTCAATTATAGAAAATAAAAAGATCTAGTCTGTAGCATAGAATGAATATCCCGTAACGGAGTATAATTCAGATTCAATTGTAGAATAATATCAGCTTGAAATGAGAATGTTATTAGAAAATTCTCATTTCAAGCTCGTGTTATTCTACTAATTCTCCTATTATTGCAAATTCTCCTATTTGTCTGTATTGTATTCATTACAATTTTAGAAACTAATATCTTACCGATACCGTTCCAAGGAACATCAGATTGGCAATTGCCATGTAAAATTCTCGACGCATGGTGACGAAGAAAATGTTCTTATACTAGAACGCTGGATTGGATCTGTATGAACCCGCAGAAGTTTTAAAGGATAGTGAAATGTGGTTTACAACGAATCGCTTTACTTGGGTGTCCAGGCGTTACATAAGCAGAATGTTTATCAATTTTAGGTGCAATTATAAGTGCAAGGTGCAGCGATATCAGTTGTCACTTCTACTTTTGAACAAATTAGCAAATAAAACAGTTTCGTAAAATCGTCAAAGTTACACACACACACACACACACACACACACACACACACACACACACACACACACACACACACACACACACACACACACACACACACACGAAAAAATTGAATATACAAACTGAGTGAATTAGCCAGACAATTTTATTGGATTTCTATTGAACTTTCTAGTAGTTTTTGACCCATTCTATTGAAAGTTTTCTGTACAACTTATTCTATTAAAATATTTTTTTCGTCATTCCGGCCGTAAGGCAGCGCTTTTATACAACGAGAGAATGTACTGTAGGACTAGTACTCACAAACAATGATAGAAAATGAATATATTATCCTAAAATGAATATATTATACTCCTGAACCATTCGACCGATTCGATTTTTTTTTCAAAATACTCGTCGCTATGATACCTATCTAAATGGATCGAAAAAAGACCATTACACCCCAAGCAATGTGGTTTTATTCTTGTTTTTTCATTTTTTCGCTGAAATTGCTTGTAAACATGATAACTTAAAAAATAATCGAGATAGAAACTTCAAACTTGGTAGGATTTCAGGTCTTGTGATAACAAAGTTTGGTATTTTGGATGAGCAAAATCGGACCAGTAGTTTCGGAGATATTCAACTTTTTATGTGAAACTGTTTTGCTTAATATCTCAAAAACTATACAACCGATTTCAATTTTTTTTTTCAAAATGTTCGTCTTGATGTCATCTATCTGCATCAATCAAAATATGTATACCCCTCTATAGAAACTTTTCAAGATATTGCCGTTTTTGTATTTTTTTGGTCAGAATTCACTCTTGAACACTATAACATGGATTAAAATCAAGGAAATCTTTTGAAACATTGACTATTAGTTAGGATTGTCAAATAACATTCCTATATCCAATTTTACGTCAATATATTCAATAGTTACTGAGATAGAACAATTTATCAAAGATTCTTAAGAAGAAAAGGATCAACGCATCTATATTTAACTGTTCATTTTCACTCTAGGCTGACTTAGAAAGATCATATCACACAAAAAAAAATTTTTTTTTTTCATTTTAAAGAAATAGAGAAAATATTATTCAGCTAAATTTCAAAATGTTGCTGCTTCTCTATTTTAATGGGTGGAAGAAAAAATGTACATACGTAAAAGGGGCAGAGTCTATGGTACATCAAAAGGTAATGAAATTTGAGTATTATTGGCCATAAAATTTTCAAAAATACCAACCAATAAGTTTTCATTTCTAAGAAACAGATCGAGTTCCATTCGGAAGCATATTACCAATGGAAGTGGTAGAAACTAAAATTGAAGAAAAAAAATTTACACAAAAAGTAACAGTCATGAGTGATCTGTCAAATAGCTTCCGACGTACTGCTTGTTTTATAATATATTGTTGCCCATCTACGGTATCTCGTCAGGTATCCATGATCACCAAGTGGTTCAATTGCTATATTGTTGATTAACTAGATGTTATTTGGAGTGATTGGCGGAGGGGGAGCAAGAAAACAACGCACACTTCAGTCTTCCATTTTTACCTCTATAATATTATTATTTCAGACATGATTAACAGATCAATTGAAATCATTCACACTACTGTATGTATACAACAAAATATGTGAATTCCTGACTGAGGACCGTTAAAGAATGTTGATTTATTCACCAAAATTCTTTACAAACGTAAACGATTTCTGGTTTTCAGGAAAAATTTCAGATAAAAATCCAAAGCCCGCAAATTGATTTTTTTTAAGATGATAAAAATCCGTTTTCTGTGATTGGAACGGATCACGTTTGAAACAAAATAAAATAAAAAAATAGGGGAATGTAGATTTTTACTATGCCAACACTACGATGTTCCCGGTTAACTGCATTAGCCGCACTGAATATCCACTCATGATAGTGATTCCCATTTTATTGTCCTGGCGCGCTATTTCCACTATCTCTGGAAAATTACCACAAGGAACATCGGTCTGCAGACGACCTTGTAAATGACGCTAGAATTGAATTGAAGAATATTATATATGAGATCATTGATGAGCCCCATTGAAAAATGATAGGAATTGTAACATGGAAACAATACTTTACTCCATTTTGATATGGCTGACAAGTTTTGAGACCGACTATTTCTTCAATCGCTTCAGACATGAAATCCTTGTAGCCATCATCCACGTCAGTCCTATCAGTGTCACATGATGTGCCGTTGAATCGATAAATGGATTTATCTTTATGTTCAAAACGCATTTGATACTACACATATATGTAATTGAATTGTTAATATATTCAACGATAGAGACGGAAAAAGGAAATTCAATCAGAAATAAGGTATACGAACCCGTAACATGGGCATATCAGAGCCCCATTTAGATGTCATGAATGTGTTGCTATCGGTTTTGCCACCCTGTATTTTGTCGTGTAATGATGCTGCTTCATAGACGCGTAAGGTGCATATTGCAGCCTGAAGTATGGAAATAAAAATTTTATACTTGGGGCAAGGCTTTTCTTTCTCACTTCAGAAAAAATCCTTTTTATTAACTTCCCGACCCGAAGGGAGGAAGTTACTGCAATGACCCGAAAATCGATTGTGGAAATTTCATGATTTTTCTACGTTTTATGACCCCGAAAAACTCTCCTGACACTTCTTAGGGACCGGAATAGAAAACGTAACAAATTCGCTAGAAAATTCTATTGGAATTCTGTACGCTTTCTATGGGGTTTCTATTGGAATTCTAGTGAAAAATTCTATTTGTTTTTTGCGCTGATTCTATTGGATATTCGATAAGAAAAAGTTAATAAATTTCGAATTTCATTTTGAATTTGTCTCTTGAAAAAAAAAAATTCTCATGAGATTTTTTCAATAAGAATGCTTGGGCATCAATTTTCTCAGTTTTTTCCACTCGGATTCTGCAATGCAAAACAAAAAAAATCCAGCGAAAAAAACTTAGAAAATTTGTGCCTAATAATTCTAATAGAAAGAATCTAAGAGAAAAATTAAAAACGAAATTCGAAATCTATTGACTTTTTCCAATTGAATATCCAATAGAATCAACGCAAAAAACAAATGGATTTTTCAATAGAATTCCAATAGAAATCCTATGGAAACCCCATAAAATTCCTATAGAATTCCAATAGAATTTTCTAGCGAATTCGCTAGGTTTTCTATTGAATTTTTTCATGCGTGTTTGTATTTTATGATTCAATTTTTTTTTCACGCAATCGATGTGTTTTTATGTAACTTATAACTGATTAGATTCTGAACAAGATCGCCTTTAGATTTTGCAATAAAATTTGTGAAAAAACGTTGAAAAGTGACGTCTTTCGTCGAAATTTTTTTACAAATTTGATGATTTCTCTCACAGAAACGATGAGATTGATTTCTTCTCATCATAATTGATGCAACTTTGTATGATTAAGATGTGTGAAATTCCAACAAAATCATCTCTACGGTTTGGGATTAATCTGAACATGAATTTTTGAAATTTGAAACTTTTCAAAGATTTTTCAATATAAGTCAATTTTTTTCATTATTATTGTTTTTTCATTCTATTTTTCCTTTTTTCCATTAAGAAAATCAAACAAAAAAACTTAGAAAATTTGAGCCGAGAAAATTTAATGGAAAATATCTCAATAAAGTAAGTTGTATAGAAAAAACAAACTCTAACGAACGAAGGAAAAGCAATTGGTCGGGAAATCATTGGTTCGACCCGTAAAGGGTCACACCCACTCTAACCCACCCGCAATGGGAGCGAGCGAAGCAAGCGACCAACAACCTAGTCGAACTTTTAGAAATGTAATTGATTTCCAACCAGATTTTCAACCTTTCGAAATCCGAAAGTAATTCAAATTGAAAAACAAAAGTCAGTTTTTTAATTGGAAAATATTGATATCAATTGTACAAAGTCAAAAAAAATGAAACAAAGAAAGAGAATAATTATTCTCTTACCAAACTTATTCCGAAGAACATCAGATTAATGATCGCAATGAGGATCCCGCGATGCATTATGGTATGATATGAAGTTTCTCGATGAAGCTCCGTTGAAACAGTTAGACGTTCAGCAAGCCGTGCCGAAATATGGAATCGAAATGGAGTTTCCATCGACTTGCTTGAATTTAAATATCGATGACTAACGATGCTTACCCCCTCTACTGGGTTCCCACTTTGTCGTAGTGAGGGGGCTCGGTCGCGGGCGGTGGAGGTCTTAGGGACTACCGCTGCCCGCGGTCGCTAAGAGGAGTCCACCCAATCCATATGTGTGAGCGGCGTAAGCCATGGCCTCGGCCATACCGTGCCTAAGGATGCGTGGCACAGGGGGAGCTGTGTCGCTAACGGTGCCTCTCAGAAACCTGTGCGACCTCTGAGAGTAGTCTTGGGTGTAACCCACCCGAGACAAGCCAAGCCCTGGGCAATCGCGGCAATGCACCAGGTGAAAACGCTTAACCGCGGTACTCGTGGGACTAAAATGGAAACCAATTTAAAAAATCTTAATATTGAAAAAGCAACTTCGGGTGGGGCCAGCGATGGCGAACACACGAAGTCTGACAAGGCTGACCAGTCTGGTACCGATGTGAATCGGGTCAGACTGAGTGGAGCCGAGAGAAGACGTCGCAAGAGAGCGAAGCTGCATCAAACCTCGGGGGCGATTGCAACCTTGACGGATGCAGCAGCGAAGGTCGATGAGGGAAGGGGGGAGGGGGCTACGAGGAAGGCAATAAAACGCCTTCCATCAGAGCGTACTACGCCAAGCCCCTCAGTCAGACCGAAAGAAAAGAGAATGAGAACGCAGGATCAGGGCACATATGCTCAGAACACTACGAGCTCATTCAAGTTTGCAGTTATGCCGGAGTCATAT